TATGGCACAGTACATCTATGCAATTCTTCGATAGCTCAACTATCACCCACGAAAACCGGATTTTAGGTACTTTCGGTACGAATATAAAATACATTTTTTTTATTTATGGGTTACTTTGGTAATATAAGGATGCGAGAATAAATATTATTACTATCGGATATTTTTCATTGCTTAACAACCATATTGCTAATTTATATAAGTATGGAAATAAAAATAAAGAAAATGCATTTTTTAAACATTTAAGGGTAACAACGGTTAACCGCAGTAATAGTGACAGAGATTGAAACAAGTAATCTAGGGAAAAATCGTTTTTATTACACATTTATTTGGCACGGGCCACGCCGGGCGGGACAACTTGTATTTGTATATATTTTTAATATTATAAAACATTTTTTAATTCTTAATGACCTAGTATAAGTCATAATTATAATTAACACAATGTAAAATTAATATAATACATATTTCTCAATCGTTTTCCGTCACACGACACACTAAATGAAATCCAAATAAATATGACGATTTACTATACATAATAATGTCTAATTATTTATAGGTATATACAATACAAAAACCGAAATTCCGTTAATGTAGCGTTAAATGTTTATTAATGTGCACATTCCTGACCGAATTTATCGGTTTATATCTGTGGGGTCGTTAATTATAATTCATTATGAACATTGAGCTATATTAAAAGCTATTTTACTAACAACTATATATTATATTTATTATCATACATCAAAATAATTCAATTTTATAAAATATATCACGTAAAATACAATTACACAAATATACAAGTTTAATATAGGAATTACAGTATTTAAATATTAATAATAACCGAAAGAGTTTGTTTTTTTTTTTTAATCGCCAACGATTTCTAAAACGCAAGCAATATGCACAAAAACAATTATTATTAAACTATATATAGTCTGCAAGGACTGATTAGTAAACCGACAATGAAATGGGCAGGAATAGCAGGAACTTCGGCTCGCAACACTCATTAACACTTTCCCTCGCTGATGATATAGTGATAACGGTGTTAATTATGTATGTCAGTCGCATTTTGAAAAAAAAAAAAATGTATACTTTTGTTATTTTAGAACAAAATGGAAAATTGTCTAGTTTATTTTTCGGTTTTTCATATTTTAATCATAAGTATTATTATTCTGTAGCAATAATCTTAATTACATAATTAAATATGTAGGTTCCAACTGTTAGGCGAAAGGTATATTTTCGAAATATATTTTCATAATTCGGCATGTAGGTTATTATTTATATTATTTCAAAATTGAATTCTCTAGAATTTATTAGTTGTATCACCACGGTCAGCCTTGAATGGCAATCGACGCTAATGATAGACGATAGTCATGAATTATGAGTGACACACGATTGATATACTCCGTACAGGATTAATCAAAAATGACAATTTTCATTCTTTCATTAATTTTATAAATCATCAAAATTATTTATTTTTAAAATTATAGTGTATTGTAGTGGTTTTATTTTCATAGTTGTATTTAATTCATCATTTTTCAACAAAATAATGGATAAAAAGCTCTTATTAGTATTATCATTTATCTTGCATATAATAAATCAAAGAAAAAACATTATAGTTAAGGGATTAGACAATTGAAATTGTTTATATATACATATTTGAACAGCTTCCAAAAAAATGCTCAATTGCACAACTGTTATAAACAGGGTTTATATAACTTTAAGTATTTGCATATTTTTTTTTGAGTGATCTTAGAGATAGGTGAGCTATACATTTCTTTCAGGAAATCATGAAGTTATATACGAAATTTTACGTTGCATATTTCGAAGTTTAAGCGCTATTTTGATACCGTAGGCTTCAAAATACACTTAATAATAAAAACAATTCAAACAGTTTAAACAGTCTTAAATATCTACATGTTCATTTATTTCTATTAGCGTTCGCTGTAACTTAGTAAGTCGGTAATCATATCAATAAGGAAGCCCCTATAATTTACGCATGCATTATTATTTTATTATTATAGTTTCTAGATATTCCAGTATCATTATTATAATTATTTGTTGAATATTTTATCATTTTTAGTACATAGTTAAGCGCTTATAACAACCTTTTTTAGAACAACAAGTTATGAGTCCTAGTTATAAGCTATGGACCAACCTCTACCCCGTCAAGTCCACCACTATCTAAAATATATTTACATTTTAGGTAGGTATACATATTATCATAAAGTTTAATTAATACAATCAAATTATATTAAAACTATATTATGACTTTCGGATTAGACTACATTGATATAGTGAATATTTCTGTAATATTATATCGAAAAATTAGATAATTGTAATTTAGATAAATAATAGGTAAATAGTAGATAAGTAAAAGGCATAGTCCTATTGTATTAATTCTAGTAATCGCTGTTAAAATTTATTTTAATTTGTTAGTACAACTTTTTTTTTTAGCTTAAGAACACGTGATGTAAAATGTATGTACAATATTATAATGTTGGTAATAAGTAAGTAATATTAATTAAAAGTGGTTTTTGTATCTTCATGGAACAAGTTAACTTAAAAAAATCGGGTAATATAAAATGTTTAAAATGTTAATTTAAAACCATGTATAGCAACATTTTATCGTTTTATAATACTCGTACATTTTTGTTTTATATTTCATTCATTTTTTATGTTTATTATTAAAATAATAATACCCATATAACGTGTACTAGTTCAAACACAATAACGTGATCATCAAATTATTTGCATCCACTGAATAAAGTAGTATGTTAGAAAATTGGCACATTGAAGGCCTCAATTATTATCGCTACATTATTATAAGTGAAAACTGTTTCAGAAAAGAAAATTATGTTTATTCATTTCCTCTGGTGCAAATAATTTTTCCACGTATCCTGTATAGGTACACGAATTTACCTAGATCTATATATTTTTAGGTAGGTCATATAACGAATAATTTAACTAGGTATTACTATTTATTATTATTATTAATTGGAAACGAAATAGAGGTTTTATATAGGTACTTCATATTTATAGATTTTTATAAAATGTTTATATGGTCTATAGTGTATTCTATTTCCATATTATGACGTTTAGAGACTGGATAATAAAATGTGTGCTGATCTTTTGTTTTCATAGTTATTGTTAAGAAAATAAATAATTAAACAAATATAGCTCCCACGCCGATCCTAAAACCTTAGATCTTAACGAACATGTAATCTATACATTTTATAATTTTTGACAGAGTTTCATAAAGTCCAAAATTTCATAGACCCCACAGCTATAACTATTAATTACTATTGTAACTTCTTTCGCATTACCCCCCTTATCTATCGTGTATTTAACCTGTCCCTTAAAGATTCTTCGGTATCTAAACATTTCAGTAATTTATACGCTATAAAACATATTTATGTCTTAAATTAATCAATGTTGCATCTCCGGAGTTGTAGTTGTAACTTTCCAAAATATGAGGTTTTTTACAAATCCTTTATAATACGATAATCTACAAAATGATGAATTATACACTAGGAAATATAGACTTATTTATCGAAAATTCTCAGGTTACATTGAATAGATTAACTTTAAACGTTAAACGTTCCTATAGGTATATTTTACTATTAATCCTTAAAGTACCTAATCCTTAGAGTAGATAGTAATATTTTACACAATATATTGTGTTCTTCTCGAAATGTCTATAATAAATAAATTGAAAAAAATTCTTTATAATTTAACAATATCTATTTTTTTTTTACAAATTATTATAAATTTACAGTAAAAATCGTAAGCTATAAATTATTTTACCTAATGTAACTGTTATGAGATAAGTATATTATGCCATCTCAAAACGTTAGAACATAAAGTTAATATTCAGTAATACAATTTTTGTAATATTTCGTTAATCTTGGTTTCATTGTTAGACATGTATGTATAACATTTTATTTCAAAAACAATAGTAAATAATTAAATAATTAAATAATTAAGAAAAACAATTATTTACTGAAATCAGTTTTAGAAGTTTAACAATTGTTTTCTTTAGTCAAAAATTAAATCATATTTCATCATTCTGTGATGATATCTTCATAGTTTTCAATAGTATTTTTCTACGAGAAAATAAAAAAATAATTTTGATAATATAAAATAGCTGTGTTGAAATCTTATTCCGGCCAACATAAGGATTTTCGATTTGCTTTACTAATCTAAATAATATAATTCACTATGAAAATTGAAACTCAGAACTTAATTGTACTAAAAAAAACCTAAACACTTTTCTTTTGTGATTTATGTAAAATTTTAATAATATGAATAATAATAACAATAAAACGTAGATATAAATTTGAATAAATAGTTTTCTAGTGAGTTTAGTGTAAAACTATTTAGTCTACAAAGGCTACAGGCCTACAGTTATTTTACTTAATAAAATGGTTAAATAAAAAAAATTAAACAATAACAACTGTATTATTAGAGCATATAGGTACATACATAAATGATGATATTTACATTTTTTTTTCACTATATAGTATTCAAATTTGTTTATGTGATAAAACTAACGAAATCGATTTACGTAGTGAATGTTATTAGTGTGTAATAAGTAGGTAATTAAAATACTCAATGTAATATATATTTAATGATGCTTTATATCCATTTAATATGAGAAAATCTAAGACTGTTCATCTGGAACAAATCGACTTTTCATTTGTTTTCTCGGAACTATTTCACAATGTCCTAGATGATAGAATATTATTATTACCTATGTTAACTATATGAATCATTGAATATAATTATTTAAGAATTCCACCGTTATTAAATATACAATTTTATGTATAATCAGTGTTGGAATTTGGGAGGGAGGCTTATGGTTGGGATTTTATGAATCATAAATTACGATCATAATTATTATTCTTTTGTTTTGTGTATCTGATTAAACTTTAAGTTTAATTTTTGCTTGTTTTTTTTTTTATTGGGCGAAGGAGACGATCGTGGCCGGATGAGGTCATGACGACGCAATGCGGTCCACCGACGGTCTGCTGGCACTGTTATGGGTCATCGCAGCCATAGCCACGACTGCGAGGACGCCGCGTGCCGCAGCGGCCGCGTGTCCACAACCCAGTGATGCCATTCGGCAGTGCAAATGTTCCAGCCGGGACAATGAAATACAGATATGGTGAGTACCTACATTAGTCAGTTTTAAAATTTCAAAAGTACGTGGTAGGAGCACATTACGAGACATAAAAGAGTTATCAAAATATCATAAAATAACAAACAGTATGATAAAACAATGATTAGATCATATAGGTTTGTTTAGAATTTTTTAAATCTAGTTAAGAAGAATTTCGACAGAAATAAAGGAAAATCAACCACTCTCATAATTATAGACTATTATAGTAGAACATAGGACCATTTCATTTGATAATTCAGTTTTTTAGTCATAATATCCAATTTTAGTTTTATACCAATCCAGTTTTTTTTTTATATTTAATTTGAGAACAATCTTTGGTATTTATTTCCACTTTAATGCCGTCACGATTTTCTTGGAACGTTTTTATTACTTATTTACTTTTCGCCTTGTGATTATTATAATACGCCATTATATTCGATTACATAACTAGGTAGACGTAATAAGATAGATTTCATCGTTTAGGTATAAATAATAAGGATATTATTTCACGATTATATTATTATTGTTGTAAAATAATACGGGTATCACGTACATAAAATAGTATTACAAATTTTAACTTTTTTAATCTTATTCAATTTTTAAACCATTTCCTACTTACACTTTATTTTCTATTATTGTAATATTGTGTTATGGAGAGCTTAAGAGGGTTTAGCCTTCTCTGAGCCATCTCAAGCCCTACCTTTAATATTTTAATTAATTCAGTCATATTGTGTACACACTAAAACCGATTTGACTCGAGCCCTAGGTATTTTTCATTCTACGTCTATACAGTCCCAAATTAAGATACATGGTACTCGTAAGCTATGAACAAATAAATGCCCCTTTTTCATTTCATAAAAAACCAGTGACTATTTTTTAGACTTTTCGTAGTACACATACATGTATTGAGTTTAATATCTACAGGGCGTTGAATTTATTTTAACTAAAACGTCATCTAATAGGAATTTTAATGTAATTTGGTACTTAAAATTTTAAAAATCACAAATCAGTAGTGGTTTCACCCCCGAAAATATGAATGAAAAATACGAAAACGGAATTGTAACATTTTGGAGCTATTTGTTTTACAAGTTGTTCGAAAAATAAAAAATAAAAAAATTAGAAAACGTAGTATTACTTTACAAAATAATGTCTTATAGAGGATTGATTGCACTTTTTTAAAAAAAAAAATATTTTCCTTACATCTGCGGAAGCTATGGCAAATTTTAATTTTTTGTAGTTCACATTTGGGATTTCATAGTGCATAAAATGTGTCATAATTGCTTGCAAAAATAGCCACTGTATGAAACTATTTCTCTATTCATGATTATTTATATTAGTGACGGACTATGAGAGCCCACACAATTTGATTCTGTACGATTTTACTACACCCAATTTGCCGAATAGTCGTTTCACCGACATGTAAACCGGTATTCGGTATTAATGGAAAAAATTCCAATTTGCCAACAAATTGAAGTTTCACAAAACATAAAAGTAATTTGTATACAGAAATCACTAGTAAATATAATCTATAATCAAAATATTAATAAAACTATAATAACTACGATATTATTATTGTCAATTGACAATTAGTAGTCATTGCACCATCAGTACCTAAGTCAGTTTGTTATTTAACAATATTACATTTAAAATGTCATGGTTTATAGTAAATTCTGAGCGTGATGGCCAATTATTAGTTTTGAATAATTTTATAGATCGACATAATAGAAAGTTAGGTTCTAACCACAATTATAAATGTATTGATCATTGCTGAGGTCGATGCAATACTAAGGTAAAAATCAAATAGCTACTATATTGTCAAAAACAAGATTAATAAGATTAATTAACTTATTTTATTTTTAAGAAAATACTGATAATTAATATGTATACATTATTAATTTAAGATATTTTTTCCTAGCTTTTTATTTAGCAAATTTATTTAATCTGTTTTTAGAACTTAACTTTTAAACTATAGTTAAGATTCATTAGTAAAAAAGACGGGCATATTTCGCACGTGGTAGCAGTAACTGTTATATATGAGAAGTTGTAGTAAAGGTAAAGAAGGTGGTGAAGGGAAAATTTAGTGTATATTTGTAAGCAATGATAAACCATTTTTAACGAAAAAAACGATTCTAAGCGGACTTCAGTTAATAATGATACTTTGTCAACCTAATATATGTCATAATATGGTAAAATAATTAAATAGACAATATATATATTCTTTAATAATATTTGCTTAATATTTTACTGATTTTCCCGTTTTTTTCCAGAACATTTTTTATCATACTAAAAAATAGTAGCTTACATAAAAATGATAAATGCTCCCCATAAAAAAAAACTGGATACTGTACTAATAATCACTTACAAATAATGGACAAAGTTTAATTTATCTTGAGGGTCTGAATGTCTAAATTAGTTTACATTTACCCATATTTGATTCAACAAGAAGGTAAGTATGTAAGTGAGGGATGAGGTGGGGTTGATTTCAAAATATTATATAAATATAGTATGACGCCTCGGAATTGCGGACTTTTTTAAAGCACGGGAAATTTACACTCCAAGCTTAACTCCCTCTTAATAGCAGCTATACTCAGAATCTAATTGAAAAATTAGATTTTTCCACATAATTTTAAAGAAATAGTAGTACCACAAATTAAGACTTTTAATGAATCTCCTGTTAAATTTTCAAGCATTTCTGTTAAGTCTAATAATTTTAGCACAATTAAAATGTCTACAAAAAGCTTAAAAATGGATTAAATTTTTTGAAAATTTGACCACGTCTATTTTTATTGACTTTTTAGTCAATATAAGTTTTTTTTGTCCAAATTCCAAGTCTCTAAGAATACTTTTAACTGAAATACAATAAATAGCAAAATTAAAAAAATAATAAAAGCATTATTTTTGTAAATTTTCTGATTTTCTTACGTTTTTTCTCACTTTTTTCTTTTTTTTAGGAAAATTGCTAGGAAAATCAAATAAATAACCTCCTTTAAAAAACCACCCCAAAAAAATTTCCTTTCAGAAAAAATTCTACATCGTTTACATTGGAGCAAGATTTCTGGTATAATTTTTGTACACAGTATAAAAAAATAAAAACACAAATAGTAAACATTTTTGTAAAACCAATTCGTTACACTCAGAATCTAAAAGTGATGGAGTATTTTTAGTCTATTATTTTTTCTAGATAGTTTCATAAAATATTTTACTCTTTTGAGGACAGACAATTTCCTTTTTAATAAACATGTTAATTGGTATTTAATGTTAATTTAATTTTTAAAAAAAATGTTTTTAGGTGTAGTCATGGAGATTCGAAGACCATATTAGATGAGCTAAAGCATCTGGCATCATCTATTAATGATCCAGTTGATGAATTAATTTTGGAAAATAATGCCATTTCGTCGATGCCAGCCAATGCTTTTTCAACTTTAAAAATTATACGCTTAATGTTGCGTGAAAACGGAATCCAAAAAGTAGCCTCAAATTGGTTATCTGATCAAGAAACAAGCATACTAGAATTATTTATAGTAGAAGCAGAACTTAGAAGTTTTCCAGAAGAAAGTTTAATGGTATTACCAAGACTAGAAGCATTGTCTTTAATTGCAGGATCATTGACACGACTACCACTTATATCTGGCTTGGCTAGATTGAGGTATGTTCAAATCGAAGCATCTTCACTGATTAATATTGAGTCGGGAAATTTTTTGGGTTTACCCTTTCTAGAACAACTGCATATAAATGGTTCCCCAAAAATGCAAAAACTGGACATGGGTACTATACAAGATTTGCCTCGTCTATTTTTATTAAATATTTCTGATTGTGGAATCATTTGGATACATCCTAGAGCTTTCGCTCGTTTACCATCGCTTATCGAATTATCATTGGTCGGTAATAAGTTATCTGATGCAACAAATATTGGAGGCGCTATCAGAGATTTGACTTCTTTGACAACCATTAGACTTGATAGAAATGAAATAGGTTTTATTACCGAAGCTACTTTCGTAGATATACCATCATTACGTCACGTTTATCTGTCTAACAATAAGATAAGTGACATACGACGAGGTGCTTTTCATCGTATGCCGAATTTAAAATCAATCGATGTAAGTAAAAATCAACTACGTCACATTCACCCGGAATCATTCACACCCATTCGTGACAATAATTTAGAAGAACTATGGTTATCTGAAAATGTTATCGACAACGCTATGACAATACGGTTGATTTTAGATATGTTTCCTAAGCTTAGATTTCTAGATCTTAGCAGGAATTTGATACAAGATATCGTGTATGGATCAGTACAAGGCCATTCAAGGCTTGAAATGTTATATTTAGACCATAACAGACTACAAAGAGTTGGCAGAGAAACATTTACTGCTATGCCATTGCTGAGAGAATTAAGATTGGCCAATAATTCGTTATCTAATTATTTAGCTATTCCTTTATGGAATTTACCAATGTTAAAAGGTCTAGATATATCATTTAATAAGTTTGACAGACTAGAACGACGAATGTTAGCCACATTACCATCATTACGGAGATTTGATATAAGCCATAATATTGTTGCTGCATTGGATCCAACCACTTTCGCTGATACTCCAAATTTGGAACATGTCAATATCTCTTATAACTACATAAGTACTATAAATTCTATGACATTATCACATTTGTACCATTTATATGAATTCGATGCAAGTCACAATAAAATCAATCAAGTATGTATATTATATTGTAATTTATTCTAAATATATAATTTGCACATTTTTTTTTAAATGTTTTAATTAAAAACGATTGTATTTGTATAACATTTTATTTAAATTCATACGAATTCATTTTACGAAGTAGGTACCAATCAAATACTAGGTGTTCCACTAGTGGTGAAGTCGATCGTATATATGTCGTATCCACTTAGTGTAATCGTATTTTTCATGAAATGGATGTTCATTTCATGAACTACGATCATAACGTGTAAGTCAAATTTTAGTTCATGAAACGGACATATATTTTATCCATTTCATGAAATGGAAACTCTTATTTTACACTTTGTGTAATATTTTAAATTAATTACATTAATAGGTAACTTTTCGCGAAATCGAAATAATAACATTGATACTGGTACGTATCGCACCGTACTATTTTAAATTATAATTTAAAAATAAATTTTAATTAATTACATCAATAGATAACATGAAAATCCTTAATACGATCGTATAACTCTTCGTATGGTACAACGTACCTGATTAAAATAATTAAATCAATAATTCAGATTACAAATTATAAAAACCAAATCAAAAATTACCTTATGTCTTCGTCTTCATTAGTTTTTTTATAAATCAAAAACTTTTGATCTGTAACGAACAGGACATCATACGTTTTGATGAAATAATAATCTCGCCTCTTTTTTTTACCACTATAAAATAATGTAAATTTCAAATCATAAACAAATATTTAATGTAAATATTAAATAATATTATTTAAATATTTATTATCTAATTTTTAATCCAACGGAATAAAACGTGAACTGCTGAGCGTAAATTTGCTATGTTACGTGTTTGTAAAACAAGCACTGATGGCTGATTGTAATAATTTTATTTGAAGTGTCTTAATATATAATTTTTATTTACTAATATTTTGTATATTTTAACGATTACTTACATTTTTACTTTTGCTACTAAAATGTCTTCAATCATTAATTGAACGTCAATTTTGGTAGATGGCTTTTTGTCTACGTAGTACGCATTTAACTGTTCATAAAATTCAGAAAATGAATCAAATTCTATTTTAACGCTAATATACGGCTCGCTTCAAGTCAGAGGACGTACTGGCATCATATAAAAATAATATAATATACAGATTTTCCAGAATGCCTTGGTCGTATCACACTTATACAATTGATTCAATTGAATTTTGATTAAATATATATTTTATCGACTAAAATTTATCTGCTGAACGGTCGATATCTCATCTTTACAATTTATTAATAATACATATAGTACGGTGCGATGCGTACCAGTATCAATGTTATTATTTCGATTTCACGAAAAGTTACCTATTGATGTAATTAATTTAAAATATTACACAAAGTGTAAAATAAGAGTTTCCATTTCATGAAATAGACAAAATATATGTCCGTTTCATGAACTAAAATTTAACTTACACGTTATGATCGTAGTTCATGAAATGAACATCCATTTCATGAAAAATACGATTACACTAAGTGGATACGACATATACACTTCTTGGTTTTTTGAGAATGCGTATACTTAAAAATGTTGTACTTCGTAGAAACACATATACTTAGTTATTATTTATGTATCTATATGTCTTATTTATTATTAATCGCAATAATTCAATGATGTATGAAAAAGACCTTTTTGCTCCAAACTGATGAGTGATGATATAGTAGACTATAACTTAATGCTCTTAAAAATTACCAAATATGAATGCATTTATACGATTAAAAAAAAATAAATATACACTTCTATATTTTGTTTTTCATACAAAATGTTCATAAATATGTTTGCTAGGGATTTCTCTTAAGTCTTGATGCATACTTTTCCAAAAATAATTTTAATTTCGGGTTACTAATTTTGTGTAGAGATATATTTGCAGACAATAAAGCTTTACACAAATCTTGCGAGAGTAAACAATTTTTGAAGTATTAATTACACGATGTTTTCCGCTCTAAAACGAAAATTGTATTGTAGTCTTTTTTGACGATTATTAATTTCATTGCCGCTTTAATTTCTTTAAACTGGTATGTCTCCTTAAAGGGACGCATGGCTTGCTTGTACAATTACACCATAGTGACGTGCCTGGATATATTAATGTAATTAACTATAGCCAATAGCCATTATTTCCTAAAAAAAGTATTTTATAGAATATTATCGTATTTTGATAGAAACTATTGGATAAATATTTGAAAAATACGGTTCTATAATGCCAGTGAAGGGTTTCAAAATAAATATATTTATTTATTTAATACTGAATTTTTAAATGGTATTATCATGAATCATCAAATCTTCATAAAATTACAAAATCACTGAATATGCAAAAAACTGTAACCTTTTGATATGTTTTTCGTTGTTTCGAAAGCAAATACATATTCCGTACTCTACTTATGATCTTTTTCTAATTTAATCTAAGGTTCTAGTTACGCAACTGCGTATACTTACTAAAAACTGGACGACTACATCTCCGTGTCCCACGGAGATCAAAATAATCAGATAAACTTCTTTTTAGTTAGGTTAGGTTCATATATTTTTTAAAAAACTAAAAATAAACAAATTAAATTGTTTTACATACCTATATAATCAGAGAGTCATTTTATAAATCTATTTTCAAACAAAATGTTAGTATAATAAATGTCAACTAATAATAAGTTATAAATTGTCTAATTTTGTTTTAATTTTACATTGCCACTAATATTATAAATAATAATTAAAATATAATTTATCTATCACTTTTTCTGTGAATGACGTAAGATAATGTTTGTTATTACATTGATAGTTATTATTTATTTATTTTTTTTTATTTAGTATTGATAATGAAAAATATTTGATACTAGGGGCGGGTGTGCGAGTATTGTAGTTGGGAAGTTGGGAAAGTAGGATGCATAAACTTATTTACCTGATATAAATCTGTAAACAACGATAAACCATTGATAACGAAAAACGATTTGGAGCGAAGTTTGGTTATACATGTTTTGAAGGCCGTAATATTTCCAATTTTTTCCGGTTTTTCCTAATTATTAATAAATCTACAAAAAAAATCGAAAAACTTATAACTTCAGAATGAACAAGATTATAAATTCAACAAAATCGATTTCATATCATTTTTGGATTAGGGCAATATTCTGGTAGAAAACATCGTGTTAACATAATTAAAATAATGAAAAGGGTAACGCCGTGGCATGTCGTAAATATTTGCCCTTTTATCTATACTTTTCTTTCGAGTTTTTCACGATTATTTCTAAACCCCTTGGAAAATCGAAAAATAACATCATCAATGTACCAACAAGAAATAATTACCTTTCCAAAAAGGTAATACAGTCTGTACTTTAGAGAAGTTTTCTGGTGGAAAAGTTGTTCACAGACAGAAAAAAAATATGAAAAAAATGAACACACATTATAGTAAAACTAATAGATCCCCCACTTCTCTACCAATCTAAAAATTCAAAAAAATTGTAGAAAATTAACGACTCATTATTAGTTACAAAGATTTTTAACTTAACATTTCAAAATAACTAAATAAATGTGTAAAATGACTCTTGGATTTGTTTTGTTAAGTTTAAAAAAATGTATAAAATTCAAGAATCATAGCACAATACTCTAATAATAATAATAAAAATATTGAACAGAACAAAAGTTATTGCAATTATTACATTGTCAATAGACAACATACGAGTACGACAACATAATGCTTTACACATTTCAGACCATAATTTATTTAAAATCTTTTATCAATTTTAATTATATTTATTTTATTTTATAAAAAAGCATAGTTTTTATATAAGTTTTTAATCTATATGCATTAAGTATATAGTACATTAATATTATTTTTTTTGTATGTTTATAGTTTATTAGTGGAATGCCAAGAGCCATTGAATATTTATATTTGGCTGATAATAAAATAATGAGCTTGCCAAGTGATAGTTCAACGGATTTACATCTGCCCGCCTTGAAACTTCTTGATGTTTCAGGTAAAGCACAATATTAATGAAAAAAAAGCCTTAATTAAACTTTGAGAAAAAAAAATATGTTAAACAATTATACACAAAGTAATAAATTGTGTTCATTTGGTTAGATAATGGTATCCATAGAGTGCCATCTAATTCGTTGACCGCCTTGACTTTATTGAGATGGCTCTACTTGGGAGGTAATTCAATGCAACAACTGGACAACGGAGCATTTAGTGGATTAAACCAATTGCAAATATTAACATTAAATGATAATAAATTATTAAGCATACATCCAAATACGTTTAAGGAGTTACCTCTTCTTGTGAGTTAAATTTAATAATATCTATTGAACTACACATAAATATGATATTTATAGTTTGTATTCATTTTTTAGACGGAGTTAAATTTAAAAGGTAACAGATTAGAAATTTTAGAACCATCATTATTGTCTAATAATGGCAAATTGAAAAAACTCGATGTAAGTCATAACAGACTTACCGAAATTCATGAATCATACTTTTCTATAAACAAGTAAGTTATTAATAAAACAGTCATAATTATTTTATTTAAAATAATATAAATTTATTTGTGAATTAATCTAGGGAACTCGAAGAATTATCATTATCCCATAATTCTTTGTCAGAATTCCCATCGTCATTATCATCTAACCCTAAAATAAAAATTTTAGACTTAAAAAACAATGAAATTAAACAAATGAAAAGTGGAATGGTCTCATCAATGCCATACTTAAAAGAGTTGTATTTGTCCGAGAACAACTTAAACATTTTAAATGAAGGTGCCTTTCAACAGCTACCAAATTTGACTATTTTGGAAATGGAAGGTAATAATCTAAACACATTACCTTCATACGGCATTCAAAACTTGCCAAATCTTGGGGTTGTAAAGATGGCTCGCAATAAATTAGTATCGATACCAAGCAACGCTTTGGTAAACCTACCTATGCTACAAATTGTTGAACTGCAACAAAATCAACTTAATGAGATTGCCAGTGATGCGTTTGTCGGTATACCGAATTTAAGTATGATGAATTTGAGTCATAATTATTTGAATGGTATGGAAAAATCTGGTTTAAATACTCTAAGGAACTTAGAAGTCTTGGATTTAAGCCATAATAAGCTAAAACAGATATCAACAAGAAGTATACAAAATATGCACGCATTAATCATGTTAAAAGTAATTTTGCTGTTATTCAAATTATTATACTTTTGACAGAGGAAAGTCTATAATATTAATTACATACAATCTTCTAGCTCGACAACAATAGACTATGTAATATTGTTGGAAGCCCATTTGAAGGAATGAGCCGTCTAAGAGTGTTAAGTTTACGAGACAATAAAATGACTTCACTTTCTGAATCTACATTCAATAGTATCAAACCTACAATTTCTCGTTTAGATGTCGATGGTAAGCTATTCAAAAACAAACAAAAAACAATTTGTATAGTTAATTGTTAATGATAATTTATCTGAAAGAATTAACTATAGTTTTTAAAATATACAATTCATAGTTTATTATTTAATTCAACACACATAAATGTACATATGTACATATGTACGTAGGTAATCCAGTGCATTGCTCCTGTAATATGCGATGGTTACAATCGTGGCTAAGAACAACAGCTGATAGTTTTGGTCCTAGATGCACTGATGGAACTTTGCTTAGAGAAATGCCATTCACAGCAAAACACTGTAATGAAAGGGATTTAAATAATATAACAGAAAATATTCCTGGTTGTGAAATAGAATCTATTCCCATCATCAATGGTAAGAATTATTGAAATTACAGATTACATATATTTTAAATTCTGAATGGAGCGAAGAATGTAAGAATGTTTTTACAAAGATGTTCATTATTATTTTTTTTTATGTAAACACTTTTTCTACCAGAAAGCTTACTCCGATGTACCATGTGATTCATTTAAGTGGGTATACTCATTATCTCGGAAAATATTAACTTTTTCCAGAATTTGTTTTCTAGAACATTTAAGAAAAAAGCTGCTCCACAATTTTATATTTGTGTTACTTTTTATCACCTTTATTTTTGGGGGTAAAACCACCACCTCCTTTTGATTTTCAAATAGCAACTTATATTAAAAATTCCATAAATAGATGGAGTATTATTTGTATTAGATTAGTTAAAATAAATTTAAATGTTGACATTTTTTATTTCCGTTGATCCGTTGACGAGATATTCCACTTTTAAGTTTGGGTTGGAAAAGAGTAGTGAAGTATCATTAATGTGGCGATATGGCGTACGGCGTGTTAATAATGCACCACTACTCTCATCCAACCTAAAATTAAAAGTGGTATATCTCGTCAACGGCTTAACAGAAATCAAAAATGTCAACACTAAAATTTATTTTAATTAATACTCAATATATTTATGGACTTTTTAATATAGGTTGTCATTTGAAAATCAAAAGTAGGTAATTGTTTTTACCCCCAAAAATAAGGTTGACAAAAAATAACACAAATATAAAATTGTGGAGCAGCTTGTTACTTAAATGTTCTAGAAAAAAAATTCCGAAAAAAGGTAATACTTTCCGAGATAAAGAGTGTACCCAATTAAATGAATCGCCTAGTATACGATGTAGAATTTTTTCTGAAAAGAAATTGTCTTGAGGAGGTACTTAAGGAAGGTCATTTTCCGACTATCTCAGAATTTTCTCATCAAATGTGAAAAACCAAAAAAAAAAAAACCGGAGGAATAACGAGAAAATTTAGGAAATATATGAGTAAAATATTACGATTTTTTTTTTTTTCTGTAAACAACTTTTCTACAAGCAATTTTGATCCGATTTACAATGATAGCACTTTTTCTGAAAGAACTGACTGGAATAAGGTACTTTAAGAAGTTTGGTTTTTGATTTTCTCGAAATTTTTTCCAGCAAATGTGAAAACTCGGGAAAAGACAGGAAAACCCGGAAAAACGTAGAAAAAACGAAAAAATCGATACAAATATTAAACAAATATTATTAAAGAAAATATATAATGCTTATTTAATTATTTTATCATAATATGATCTATAAATAGTTGACAAAGTATCACTATCAACACTAAACTCCCGTCTGTATCTTACTTTCCCAACAGTCCACCTATAACAGTGGCTACACCCGTCCCCATTTTCTTACCTTGTTTTTTAAATCTTAAAATATTGTTTATAAAAATATCTGTTATCTTAAAATATTGTTATAGCAAATACAGGAACATCAAATCAAGTAACTTCGTGGGTTAACAGTGGAGAAACGAATGAAAATAAACCACTACCCGAAGAAACCGATTATTTTTACGAAGATGTCGTAGAACTGAACGATAAAACAGAAGATAAAACAGAACTTCAAAGAGGTTATTCGACCGAAAAAACCTTGCCGACAATATCACCTGCAGTTTTATCGCACTATGTACCCGGTGATACACCAACATTGTACGCCAGTAGTCGGCCCAATAGCTCGTCTTTTCCCGATGAGCATCCATTGCAAAGCAATTCGGGCGGTACTGCTTTTACATTTTTTGGAGTACCAATACCGCCGTTAAATTTCAACAATATTTGGGGCCAAACTAAAGGAACTGGTAAAAGACTTAAGGATAGCAGACGCAATTCATTGCCCAAAAAACCGTCTGCCATAGAACAAGATGGTTTTACGTCAATGATACCGGGTTCTGGGGGCTTACGAACAATAGCAACTACAACAGATCATACTATATTTGAAGAAGAAACCGATAATGAAGACAATGTTGACACTATTCACAAAAATAACAGTACATTATATAAATTTACAAAATCCAGCGGCCCTACACCACGGTATCATTTTGACAGCACCACGGAATCCCCATTTTATTACAATAAATTTCCAAACAGTGACAACAACTTTTCTAAGTTTGCAAATATCACGACTCGCGATTCCTTATTCGAGTCTGCCACGATTAATTCAATTATTAGATCTACTACTAAACCGAATCTATCTAACAACCAACAACAAACAACTGCTGCAGTTCCAATCTTACAAAGCAACATTTCGGTTGACCAAACAGAAAGACTGCCTAAATTGTCAACAGGTAACATTATATCGTTTGAATTTAAAATTGTATGTGTTCTTCATATTATGCTGTTGCGTGCAAATAATTAACATAAATTACGTATATTATTATATTATAACTTATAAACGTAGGCGTGCGTTCGGGGTGTGCCAACTACCAAGTTTGCTATGGCACCCTCCCTCATGAACCATGTTTTTTGTTAATTGAAATGAATTAATTCCAATTTTTGAGGCTTAAATGTTTGTTGGGTTTAAGCGAACCTAATATTATATTTTGCTAATCTAGTTTAGTACTATTTATCAGTGCTATCACCAAAATTTATGTGGGTGCACATTACGAAATAGGTAGTTATATTACATACCTTATTGTTATTAGTTGTACATAATATATACCTAATTTAGTTATTTCTTAGATAAAGTTTTCTGGTTCAGATACCTATCTCAAAACTAATTAGCCCATCTTGTTCGTCTGTCTGGTATTAATTTCAATATTTATGAAACCTTTTGTTTGTTTTTATGGTCACCTATCTATCTATTTTTAAGAAATATATTATTTTGTTTTCGTGAAATATCGGTAAAATAATATTGTTAATGTATAGATACTTTGCATTTAATTATAAAAAAAAAAAATATTTATATACGAGGGTTGTCCCAAAAGTAATGCACAATTTGCTCTGAATAAATAAGTTTTTATTTTAAACTAAATACAATATTATAGACCTTCGATATAATCTCCCTGTTTGTCTATACACGATTGCCATCGTTTCGGGAGCGCTTGAATGCCGCATAGGACGCCATCTTTGTTGAGTTCACGGATCCTTCGGCTCACTTCTTCATTTAGTATATCCAAGTTGGGAAAATGGATCCCTCTAAGTGGTTCCTTCAGTTTTGGAAATAAATCAAAGTCCGAGGGACTTAAATCCGGCGAATACGGTGGGTGTTTGAGGCGTTCCCATCCATATTTCTCCAAAAGAGCGACGACTGGTGCTCCGATATGCGGCCGCGCATTATCGTGCAATATGGACACACCATTTTGTAACATTCCTGGTCGCAATTTTTTGGCAAGGAATGTTTTGTAGTAATCCCCGGTTACACTACTGCCAATTGGAACTCGATCATATCAACTGACAATTATCCCAAGTTTATCGTAAGCAAAAATCATCATTTAAGTAACCGTAGAGGGTCGGCCAGAGCGAGGGTTGTTATCAATACTTATACGACCATCACGGAATCGCTGATGCCATCTTTGCACCGTACTACGATCCACAGTATCCGTTCCACACACTTCATTTAACGCGGCATGAATTTCAGGCACTGTTTTACCACGAATCGTTTCGATTTTAATGTATGCGCGTTGCTCAAAAACAGAAATGTGAGCCGACGAATTGTTCTCACTTTCGTTATCGCTCTCACACATCATCATACTTTACTAAAACAACTAAAACTGAAAACGCACGTGTTCGTTAGACTTCAAGCTACAAACTGNTATCACATTGCAAGACAGCTAGAGCGCACTGTGCATTACTTTTGGGACAACCCTCGTATATATACATTAAATAGATAATGTGGTATTTTTCATTATTATTATCATTATTGTTGTTATATATTATATTATTATTTATTTAATATCTTATTTACTTTATGCAACATTCAACGTCAAATGTCTGCGCACGCCTATGCTTATAAACATTTGGAGTAATCTCAATAAAATTTTGTGAAATGAGTATTGTTATACATTATATGAGTGTTTTTCTTCTTTCTCTACGCCTTTATCCAATATAAACAAGGCCAACCACTCTTAGATCCCTCGCCATTCCCTCAACATTAATTTAAACATGTGTGCAGTTAAGCGGCAAGTATTTATCACGATCACAAAATTCTTCAGATTTTTTAAAATGAACAAGTTTTGGTATAATTTTATAATTCATTTAGGATATCCTCATCTACTCGTAGCATCGCTGCCTTCGTTAATAGTTTCTACGCATGCATTTGTGCTATAAAATATCGGTGCGTGTGTTTTATTTAATGTACCTACACCCGCAAAGTTGTGTGTTTGCAGTGGGACCGGAGACGAGCACGGGGACCCAACAACAGCAACTGTTTGCAGTCGTCACACAGTCACCCTCGGCAATGCCATCAACGGCATCGCCTGCAGCAGCAGAAACAACAATATCGACAACAACAGCGAATACAGCGCATACGCCCATGGCGGCTCCCAGCGTGTCCACGCCATCGTCATTGACCGGTTTCTTGGCACCCGGCGGCCAGCTGCCCACGCACAAGGACCTCACGGGCATAGTGGTGGCCACCGGCAAGCCGTCCATCGTCAAAGTGACCCTAAGTCCACCGGGCCAACAGAGCCATCCACAGCAGCAGCAGCAGCAGAGGGTCGCGGCAGGCGAGCATCAACTGCTGCAGCAAACGCATGGTCCCATAAACTCCAAATACCCGGTTCCTAAAACCGGGGTGGCGAACAATAACCATCAGCAAGCGTATCAACTGCCCACCAGGTCGACGGACGCATTTCAATCGACACCGTTCAAAACGAGTTCGGTGAGTGACTGGTATTACGCCAATTACAACAAAACCAACGTGGAACCGTTCGTCAGCAAGACCTTAGTGTCTGCGGGCACCACAGGCGGTCGATCAAAGGCCACGTACACTAAGGAGACCCCGGCAGCCGTTATGATGGCCGTTACACTATTATTGCAGGTGGCCATTCTTGGATTTAGATAAGCACATTATATAGTTACGTCTTAGTCACAATATCATAATAATATCATTAAAATTATATCGATTTATCATTATCCTATATCTAGTATCTCTACTCTCTCTAGAATATCTAGTAGTACCTACCTATATTATATTTTTATAGAATTATCGTTAATCGGCACACGGTTGTAATTATATTGATAATGAAGAATGAACTTAACAAGTAATAATCACTGAAAGAACCTAACCTCTTATATGTAACCATACATAGGTAACACCACATGATGGACCAAACATAATACCGTTAGTAAACATTGTATATTGTATTAATAACTATAATACAATCATTTTAATATTAAGTATATATTTATAGTGTAAGGTGATATAATACGATAACGATCGAGTGTTTAATTCAAGTTTTTTTTATCCCGTTTAAAAATGCATAATATTATACTATATTTGCATACTTATTAAGTTTTGTAATAGTAGAAATTGTAGATTTGCATCCTTATTTTTTATCATCGTATAACCGCTATAATCATGCCAATATACCTACATGGTATTATAAAAACGGTATAAATACTTATTTACTTTGTATTCTATAAATTCAATATATGTAGATATAATTAATAACCTTTCATATTAAATGCATCCATTAATAATTTATTGTTTATACATTGAAACTTAAGAGCATACATGCAACAGCCAGCACTTTCCGAATATAGGTACATTATTTTGTCATTTTGCTATAGGTATTAGATTACTTATGGGTAGGCAGGCACCTATATCTAAATGTTTATGTATAATGTGTATAATAATTAATGCTATTATTGATGGTTTACTGTATATTTTTATTTTAGTGTAGTGTTATCATATTATATATTTTTAAAATATTATCCAAATTATTATAATTATGTAATCCTCATATATCATTATTAAATATAAAATATTTCATGTTATATACCTCTACTCTGACTATAATAGGTAATTAAGGTATTTTTTTTCAACAATAAAAATACTATTTTTAACCAAACGTTATCTTTGTAGAACATATTGTGATATTTACTTAAATTAAAGTGGGTACCTATTAAGATAATATAAATCAAGCTTGATCAGTGGTGTTTTCAGCATTTTTTTCGGAGGGGGGGGGGTTATATTTCCATATGGCCCCCGAACAAGTCACTTAACTCAATTATGTATGTGTTGGCCTAACGACTAGAAAACAATTGATACCGAGCTACCGACGTTTTTAATAATTTATTGTATTGTTAATTGATGGGTCACATATTTGAAAAACATTTCCCGAAGAATATAAAATATACTATTTTACATAATAACATTCTTCGTATTATGACAAAAAATAAAGTGAGCGGGATTAACTAAACCCTATGCACTGCACGAACTAAATAAAATATGCTGATTCGTAATATTGGTATAAGCTTATAAAAAAAAAAATAGAAGAAAGAAAGCAGAGTATAGGCACCTATTGAACTTAACTCTTAACTCTATGTGTGATACATGTAACATGCAATCAGGGGTGTCTCTAAGGGAGCTTAAATGCCCCGGCTTTCTCTCAAGTGCAAATTTCTAAAAAATTGTGTATTGTTAAAACAAAATTCCGAAAAAAAAAATATATATTATACTATCAACTATTATAGACACGTACGTTGTACAAGCGTGTAATTAGGGGTATGATCATATTATGAGTTTTTTGTCCAAACTAAAAATAGATGGTTCAAATTTGTGCTGTAAATTTTGTTATACAATTTTCAGAAAGTTATGATTTAGCCCCCCCCCCCCTTTAACTAGATCGCCGCCCATGCATTGGACGATTTGATTAAGCAGTGACATCATAAGTGTGAGAGGTAGCAGTTGCTCCCATGTAAAACATAAGTCGGCAAACATATCGGCACGTCTAATGTGCGACGTATATCACCTACGTCCAATAGTGTGAAAAAATGTTTGTTAAGTAGAAATTAAGTGGTATATTATTATTGTATGTCTGTATATGTGCTTAATTTAACCTTAATTAAACCTTTCATTTAAGATTTAGTTTCTAATTTCAAAACACGTTAAATAAAATACGTTATTATTGTAATTTTTAGTAAATTTATGCCTCTTAGTGAAATGTGATTTTTATTTTAAATATCTATCATTAAGAACTTTTTCGAAATAATATTCATGATGGATTATGTGCGTACAATTCTTACAAAAACAAGATTTATTACCAACTCTAAATGATAATATCAAATCGCTGTACCATAGTTCGAAATAATGAAGAGAGTAATGTTGAACTATTAAAGTAATGTTAAGAAATCAGGAAAAAACAAAACTCAAATGATATAAGTATTTAAAAAGTGCATAATATTTTTATCAATTTGTTCAAAAAGAGGTTGTTAAACTTATATTTCATTTGAAACCAAAAAAAATTACGATTATCATACCTATCAAATTATGTTATTATTCAAATGCAGAGTAAGTTAATAAGTAGCTATGTGTCACAGATATAATAAACTAGATTGCTAATTAGTGATAACAGCAGATGCCAAAAGAAGTCATGTTGGTTATAGGTTCTGCAGTGTTATAACATATTACCACAGATATAGGTAATAACGAATAAACTAAATTATTACCTATATACGAGTATACATAAAAACATATTATAATAAAGTAAATTTAAGTACCTCCAGAATGTCCTTCCGCAGGGATCCGTTCCCTCCCCAATTCTATTCAATGTATACAGCAGACATAACGGAAACTACAGCGAGGAAATGTATGTATGCCGATGATGTGGGCTTAGTCAAAATCATTCAAAGAGCTGGAAGAAATACTAAGGAAGGACTTGGGTAAAGTTCACACGTACTTTAATACATGGCACCTTACACTAAACCCCAATAAGACCATAGCTATAGTCTTCCATCTAAACAACAAATAAGCCGAAAAGAAGCTCAACCTGTCAATTGAGGAAGTACCCATACCCAACGAACGTAACCCAAAATATCTCGGCATAAAACTAAACAAGTCCCTAAATTTCAAACACCACTTGGAAGGAGTTAGGAATAAAATCAAATCAAGAAACATGATTCTTACAAAATTAGCGGGAACAAGCTGGGGATGTAAGGCCAATGTACTGCGCACGTCGGCTATGGCTTTAGTCTACAGCGTCTCCGAGTACTACGCTCCTGTGTGGGGAAGAAACACGCACTGTAAATCTGTAGACTCGCAGCTCAAACACACAATGAGGATCATAACAGGTGCCATTAAATCCAATAACATACAATGGCTGCTGGTCCTCGTCAACATAGCTCAACCCGATATTCGCCATTAGGCCGCAACTGCCAAGATAATGCTACGAATCAAAAACTCCCCCGACCTGCCTGTCCACAAGAATGTGTTCCAGGCACGCGACATAAGACTTAAATCCAGACACCCTATTTGGACAAACTTGGACTTTTCGGAGTCTGTGGAGGATAAATGTAAGACAATAGAGTACGCAACCAATATCTAATAGAAGATTCTACACACAGACTCCCTGGCTTTGATCTCACAAGGGCAGAATGGACTAAACTTAACAGTGAGGACGGAGCAGGGTAAATGCGATTACCTCATGCATAAATGAGGTATGGTGGACTCTCCAGACTGCGCTTGTGGTCAGGCGCAGACAGTCAGACACGTTGCACAAGAATGCCCACCATCACGATTTGAAAGAGGCATTGACGGACTTCATGAAGCCGGGGAAGCAGCTAGAAAATATCTAAAATATCTAGATCCACGCTTATGAACCAACATTTAGACCCTCACTTAATTAATCGTATAACCAAATTTTTGACTTTGTTTTTAACCCCAATTATTAACTATCTATATTACCACTACGATTTCTGTTATTATTTAATGTTTTTATTGATATTGGTCACTATTTAATTATATTTCTATATATGTTGTATCCGATTGCCAAATGAAATAAAAAATAATGAAAAATAAGATTATTTATAGTTATTAATTAATAATAAACAATATTTGACAGTAACATCTAAAAAAAAACAAACAAATGAGCATATGCATTTTAAATGTTATATTTTAACCTTGGTAATTATTTAAGTGTTGAAGAATGTGAAACATCAGATTCAGAAGTTTTAGTTTTTATGTTATCAAGTTTAAAAAAAAATCTATTGATTAGTAAACAAAATTAAATCCGCAATACAGGCACAGCCCAATTTCTCACCTACTACAGGTACATAGTGCGAAATGTCTTTTTTTTGTTACAATTTTATTCAGATATAAAAGTTCGTAGATTTGAAATTTTTACAGAAAACTTATATTTGTATTTTCTAGAAGTGGTAAAATTTGTGCGTTATCGATAGGCATTTTATGTTCCCAAGTTTTTTATTTGGTTAGTACATACTATGTGGATAAAAATGTTTGATCAAATAAAAATATTTGACAATTCAATAGGAGGTTCAATATAAGCTGTATTAACTAATAATAATTAACATATGTAATTGTTTTACCATAACATGACATATATTATTAACAAAGCAATACTATAACCTGAACTCAGAATCTTTTTAGCAATGGTCAAGCATTGTGTACAGATATATATTAAATTTCCTCTCTACTACCTTCCAAACTACTCACCTACAACTAGTGGCCCACTAGGTATATCAGTCTTTTTTTTTGACCACAAAGTACCACTTTTAATGAATAACTTGTTAAATTTTCAAATATTTCTGTTAAATCTAACAATTTTACCATTGAGTAATTACTCAGTAAAAATTATGACATTTTAAGTCTCAGGTTTGGCTATACATTTAATTAAGAGGATTTTGAAATTTCATGTAATGCACATAAGAAAATTAAATTCAGAGAATGATTAGGAGCAAACATAGAGAGGATGGGTAACCTACCTATTACCTCCCTCTGGGTCCACAACTGACAACCAGATAAAAATAATCAAGTCTTTTATCATATTATTATACTGCAATTTTCAAATTATTACCATTGTATATTATATGCACAATACATTTTTTTAAGCAAATACATAAATACACAATATGCTACACGATATTGTTTTCATTTATTTATGTCTATTATCTTATATTATTAAACTTCATTAATATATATATATATTAAATGTGTAAAATAAAATAAAATCATATGAAAAAAATTGTATAACATAATAATTATTATAATGATATTATATTATAAAAATACAAGTACAATACATATTGTGTATATTTATATGTGGTTTTTGTATTATTAACTGTTAGTTAACAGACTAATAATACATCATGTAAAAAGTTAACTAATTTATTTTTGAATGAATTTTGAAAAAATAAAATAAAATAATAATACAATTTAACACTATGTGTATAAATGTGGACAACAGAAAGGTACATAAAATATCTATATTATAAAATAACAGTATTCTGTGATAAAAACATATACTATGACAACAAGAGATAAGTAATTATTAATTTATTTTGTAGTTTTTTCATCATACATTATTTTCTGTCAAAATGGTGATGATAAAAGGAATGTTTTTGATGTGCAGGTGTGCAGAGGGAAGTGGTTGAATGCATTGAATAATATCAATAATAATAATAATAATAATGATAATAATAATAATAATAAAAATAATTATAATAATAATAAAGAACATACCACGACATGACTGATGCTACAATGAGGCAATTAATAATAATTATAGGTAATAATAATAAAATATATTATATGTATATGTACACAAATTAAAGGCAATAAAAAAAAAATATAGGGTGATAGAATTATGGACAAACTGATAGCCGGCCTGCATGCTGCCATTTCAATATTTTCTTTTATATTTTATGTATTATGTATTCGAAAAATGTATTTCCCCAGCATTAAATTTTGTTTTTAATAAGTTTATTACATTATATATATATATATATCATCTATCTTCGCCAGTGGCTCAACTTTTCATTATCAGTGACAATTGTTGTCCACAAGAGTGTTGTAATGTCTATAGGGACACACTAACAACAGCCACCAGAACTACCAGATGTATCAGATGATTTGGAATCAATTGTAACTTTTCCAACCCCATCAGCTGCACCAGGTCCTCCTTGGCCATCTTGTGGCCCAATACGGTTCTTAATCTCAGCAGCCATAGTCAAAAATGCCAATTCTACATTGGTTGCTTGCTTAGCCGATGTTTCCAGGAATGGAATTTTAAGATGGTCAGCATATTCCTGTTTGGATACAACAAATATTTATATATATATATTTATGTATTACATATTACCAGTTGGCAATAATTAGAGACTAAATTTATATTATTTTATTGTCTGCAGAAAATGCTTAAAAACACCAAAAAGCCCAAAAATAAGCACTTATACACATTTAAAAAATTAAAAATGATAGAGGGTGTTTTAAAGTCAGTCTCTAATGTCTCTAGATTTTAAATTATATTTCCTACCACTAAAAAATAATTAACATAAAATGATTTTTTTTATATAAAATTACCTTTTATTAATCATTTTTGTGGTATTAGAAAAATGTATTTATAAATTAAATTCATTAGAGGGGGAGACTATTAAACCCCTCTATTATTTTTGCTGTTTTATATATTTGTTAAGAGATTTTTTTTTTAAGGCTTTTTGAAGGTTTGAAGTTCTTTTATGTGGATTTTAAAAACATATAAATCCGGTCTCTAGTAATAATATATTCAGTTATAATTTACCTACATTAAATAGTAGGCCAATGCCGAAATTGCTATTTCTAACTAAATATGTATTATAATATTGTACTTAGAGAACTAGTAGAGTATAAGAGTACATAATTTGTAGGCACTAACTAATAATATTATGATAACCTCACCTTAGCTGTTGCTTCATCTACAGCACGCTTGTCTTGTAAATCACACTTATTGCCCACCAATAATTTGTTTACATTATCACATGCATACCTAGCTATCTCTTCTAGCCATTGTTTCAGATTGGTGAATGTCTCCATGTCTGTGCAATCATAAACCACTATGATGCCATGCGCTCCACGATAATATGATGATGTGATTGTACGGAATCGTTCTTGTCCAGCAGTGTCCCACTACATATAATTTTTTATTTTTAGTTCAATATTTTTATCTGAAAATGCTTAATATTGCAATGGTAATAACTAGAGATCTGATGAACTGTTCGATTTTTGAATTGAACCAAACTCATAGTGTTTTTAAATTTTAAAATTTTTTGACTTAACCTATTTAGTGATTTAATATTCAAATTCGATAAAATATATATAATAACTAGAATTTATTGAATAAAATTAAGTTTCCAAAGAAAAAATAGCAGTAAAAATATGATAATATATTAATTTTGATTATTTGTATTTCTGTAAGCTATTAAAATGTATAATACTTGAATTGTTTAAATAGAAAATAATGTGTACACACTTTTATTATGTAAGAAGGTATACTTAAAAAAAAAAACAACTGATTCCTAATATGATTCATGTTATCTCAACTGATTTAATTCCAAATTAATTACTACTATAAAAATTCATTGCTCATTAGAAATTATTAATCATTTAAACTAATAATAATTTTACATAAATCATTTATTAATATTCACTACTTTAACAATGAAATACAATTCAAGATATTAAATCAATTAAATCAAATATTTAATCAATCTACTACAGTTATAAATATCTACAAATAATCAATATAATTTTTGTTTGATTGAAAAGCTTTCAACATACTAGTTAGATTCAATTGTAACTTAATAGTATTTAAATTATTATATTTTAATAGAATTTGTTTCTTTGATTATTTTTAAATAATATGCACATTGAATTAATAACACAATACTCACGATCTGTAACTTCACAGTTTTGTTATCCAGCTTGATGGTACGGATTTTCTATATATATATTTACATAACAAGTAACAAGTATGGTTATTATTGAAATATATATTTTAAAATAACTAAATACATTGTAAATTCTGTAAAAAATTTACAGTTCCACAAAGTTAAACATTTTATTATCAGCATACCTAATAACTAGAGACCAGATTTATATGTGTTTAAAACTTTAAAATTCTTAGAATAAGACATTATATTCTTCAATTTCATTAAAATCTTATTTTATTTGCATTAAGCCAAGTTTTTCAGTCAAATTAATTATAATTAATATTAATAATAATTATATAAATAATAGTAATAATAATTATATAAATAATAGTTATAATAATTATGATGTAATACGTTTGTTTTAAAGAAGTTTGAATTTAATGATTACAAAGTCGAAAGTAACGAAAAACAGAAAAACCTTAAATCATGTACAATGTGTAGTAATAGTACATGATTTAAGAGAAAAACAATGCACAGAAATACAATGATTATTCATCACATATTTTTTTAATTACTGATAAAACAGTAAGGATATTACAAATCATAATCAAAATAATGATTGCAACATGTTCCACAATACACTATTACAACAATAATCATTACCACTACCTACCGAATATCTTTTATTCACAAATTTAATACTCACCTAAAACTAACTGAAAGATAAAATTTCATTGAAAAACACCCATTACCTTAATCTGGAGTTTATTCAACAAACATTTATTTAATTTAAAATGTGTCATATTGCCATTAAATATACTTTTTTCTGTAGTAAATCTTTTTCATTGATAAATGAATCATCAAAAAAGTTCATCCAAATAGAGTTGCATACTCAGTAAAAACATGTATGTAATTACATACAAATCTGGCCATTATTAAGAACTATTTATATTAGCAGGTATTTTAAGTAATAATATATGATTTAAACTTACAAAATCCACACCAATAGTGCTAATATACGAATCTGTGTATGTGTCATCAGCAAACCGTAACAATAAGCAAGATTTACCAACTCCTGAATCACCAATCAACAACAGTTTAAACAAGTAATCACTGAAAATACAAATACAATTTGTCAGTAACAATCAAAAGCACAGAATTGTTCATTTAAATTTTTTAAATTTACATTTTATTTAATAAACAAATATATTAACTTACAATGTAATACAGTATATTGACCCTAATTATTTTTTTAATTTTGTTATTATTTATATTTTTTTTATGTTCTTTGATAATGTTAGGCTATTGAATAGTTATGTATTACAGTTAAAAATATATAGACATTTGTAATTATCAACAATTCATCAATAGCTTCAATCATCTTCAATAATTTCACCCAAAATTAAAAATATATTAAATATTTTCTGAACACAAAATTTGATTGCCATACAAATTTTAATGAAGAAAAATTACCTATATCAATGTTATATATAATATTCTTTTTTATTTATTATCCTTAGCAAATGTATTCAAGCTAAATGTTTCCATTTCTGTCTTGATATCAAAGGAATCCATTAATTCAAATTTTAACTACAAATTACAATAAATGGTCAATAACAGTTGATGATTCTGAGCCATTTTAATATTTTTTGCTCAGTAAGTTATAGCAACAAAATTCAATTGAAATATATAATATATTATAATATAGATTATAATATGCACTTACACACCAGCAATATATGATTTAAATGCACGGTTTGATGTTAAAGAATGCTAATGATTAGATATGGAAATTGATGTTTAAAATAATTTTAGTAGTTTCCTTAGAGTACTTAAAATTAAGTAATACAGATTATTAATAATAAGTCTCTATAGTATAACGAATAGTTTTTAAGTACTGTATTAATTGAACATAATTTTTAAAACATAATTAAAACTTGAATTTAGGCCCTATCAACATTTTTATTATTTATTATTTAAAATTTCAATACTCTATGAAATAATGAGTACAGTTATAATTACACAAAATATTATACAATGGAAATTTAAATATTGAACATTAGATAATATACAAAAAAAAAAAGTAAACAAACATATAATATACAATGAATTCATTAAATTAGTGTAGGTTAACTAGTATTGATTAATATATTCCTTAATTTAAGTTATGGATCAAAAGAAAAATCAAAATTAAGTACATTGTTACAAACATCTAAAAAGTGATATGATAATAAAAATTATTTATAATAACTACATTTAAGTTTATTACAGTTATCTAACATTGATTTAGACTGTTGACTTCAATTTGATTGAATATTAATCTACTGGCATATATGTTGGACAGATTTAAAAAAAATGAACAACTTTAACAATTAACATTTGAAAATTGAAGAAAAATAGATACCTACATATTTTATAAATAAATATATATTTTTTAAGATTAATAACTAATATAATCTTATTATTACAAAATTGTAATTTATTTCAAAAAATATAGGTAAATTAAAGAATATTAAAATTGTTAATTTTAATTAAATTTATTTTAAAGATGTTATTGGACATAATGGGTCATTAAGTGATTATGCTAATGTAGTTAAAGGTGTATTCTCATCCTTAACATCTTGTTCAGAATATCAGAAATGAGCATGATTTCGGATGGTAGGCATTAAGATAATTACTCTACTAAAACGAGTACATTTTAACAGAATTTGTGGGTTCAAAGTAAATATTATAAACTTAAATTTAAAAATAAATATGAATCTGATCATAGATTAAATTAATTGTTGAAATTTATCTGCAACTCTAATATCTATTAATAACTCAATAGGTACATGTGAAATAAACTCAGTGATAGACTCGATGTTTTCTTCCATAATAGTTGGTAGAGCAGACATTATTGGCACAGAATAATATTTATTATCAATTTGTACATAGGTGACTTTAAAAAAAAAAACAATTTAAGAATAATTTATTGGAATTTATCCAATGGATCATTCAAGAGTTTAGCGATAAGATTTTAATTAGCAAAATATAACTGTATTCATTTAGATTCAAATACAGAAATATTACAAGACACAAATATTTTTTTAATACCGAGTAAATCAAAAAAAAAATTGGAACTTTATGAATTCTTATCCTTAAGATACAAAAGTCTTAATTCAGAAACAGGAGTTAAAGATAAATGTTTAAACCTTGAATATGTTACAACAAATAGGGGGGGGGGTTGCTTCTACAATAATTTTATAACAGTCCAAATGATAAGGGCTGAAAAATGTGGGCCAAGTTGTAATTTCCTGCGGATGTTCCTGATGATGACAAAAACGTCATCCAGCCAAACTATGATAATGACCGAATAGTATACGATATTAAAAATAATATTTTAAAATTACAATATTGTACAGCTGGACGAGGGGCGACGGAAAACGCGTACACCTTCGTTCATATATTATAAATACGTAACTAATACATATTAATTATTACCACTATTGTTGAAAGATACTCACTAGTCTGGACTCATATTGTCTCCTCTTGTTTTTTTTTCAACTTGTTTAAGGTGACGTTACGAAGGCGACGTTGGCTGAGGGGCGTACGCTGGTATACGACGACGGTGGCGTATGTGATAACAAACTATAATACAATTTTTTTGTATGTAACTACAATTTATTACTATGACAATTAGATATGGCGATGAGAAAATATTATATGCACCGCACAAAATGGTATTTTCGAGATACGATAAAATGAGCAGAATTTAGGCAAATAGAATAAAGACGACGCAATAGTAATAAATAATAATAGTATAGGTAGTAAAAGCGATGACTGGTATAAATATTATAGATTTTTTTTTTTACCTTACAATGATAAAACGTTAATGATACAACGGACCAGTGTAGAGCGATAGAGAGAAACGGCAGCAGACGGGGCCGGACAGCAGACACACAATAGCAATTTATAATAGGCAAATAACAGCGGTACGGCGGTGGCAGTGGCGGAGTACGGGGACTCTGTGGGTCGGCGGAGGCGACGGTAACCGAACGAAACAAATATGGCGGCCAACGACGTCGACAGACGTAATCACACCGTATTACACTATACAAGAGCGTACAATGGTATTCAGCATAATTATCGAGATGAGGTGTCTGCCGCGGTATCGCTCGAGTCACAACTACGCCGAGTATTCGATGGGTCGCCGATGTACAGTTGGTACACTCACCGCGTACGTACGTGCAACGTCATCGCTGTGGTCGCTGTGTTGTGATAATCACACCGGTGCGGCGGTACGTCCCGATACGTATCGGAACATTCGGAATGCGCCGGGGACGTGTACGTTTATTACGCTGTTTTCGTAATGAAATGGAGGTGAAATGTTTTGACATTCGCGCAACACCGATACAGACCGCCGACAATAATTTATTGTGTTACTTATAATTAGGGCTCGGAAGTTATAGGAGTTGCATATTTTTCTGTGTACACTGGATTTATAGCAGACCAAGCTAGAAATTCTTTCTATACAATAAATATTTTAAAAATCGAACTTTTATCATGCTTATTTTGTTAATTTTATAGAAAAAGTGCATAATATGCAAAAATCAATGAAATATGTTTCATTGATTTTTGCATATTTTTACGCATTTTATACATATTTAATAGTTGTAGTAACAAAAATATTGTTCTTTTTTTCTTCCTTCACCAATGTATTTTAAATAATATTGAATATAAAACAAAAATATTATTTAACTTGGTTTTTACAGACCAAATCTGGCAACCACTAAAGGATTTTTCAAAATTCAACCTCTAAAAGAAAAAAAAAAAATTAATGTTTAAAAGTTTACGGATAACAACGATTAACTGCAATGATAGGAATGGGGATAGAAACAAGGAATCACGGGGAACATTTTTTTATATTTTTTGTGTATTTGTATGCATTTATTTTTGTTCAATACTGATATGGACAAGTGCGGGACAGCAATAGTTTTATAATACTTATTTATCCCTTCGTGACTCGCACAAATATAATACTAGCTGACCCGGCAATGCTTTGCTACTACTATATAATAGTAGTAGTAATAATAATAATAATACATTTCTTGTCCGTGACGACCAAATCGTCATTCATGTCACTAAGATAACCCATGAATAAACAAAAAAGGAATTAATAAACAAATACATATTTATTCCATAAATACTTAAAAACCTTGCAATTTCCATAAGGATCTCTAATTTTTTTTGAAAATACAGCCCATGTAACTCGCTGATAATGTAACTTTTCATAGATGAAAGAAATTTTAAAATCTGTTAAATATTTGTTGAGCTTGTCCATTACGCACATACAAACAAATCTTTTCTTTTATAACATTATAGTACAGATTATATTATATTAAGCCGGATTCTCAAAACTGGTGTACTTGCTAAATATCCATTACTGTTAAGTATACTTGCCATCAGGTCCGATGAGAGTGAGGGAGGAGTAGCCTATGGGCCCGGGCCCAACCAAAGCAACCAGGTCCTACATTTTACCTAAGCTTTACATCAATATAAAAATGATTTGTAGTTTAATTTCATAATATTTTATTTTAAAAATCAATATAATTAATAATAAAATGTTAATGATATAGTAATTACTTTGTACCATATTATATGTGTTAGTAACAATATGATTTGTGCTTTTAAACACCTTATACCTCAAAAAAGAAGATTAAGCCTTTTTGGAAAAAGTGGAAAAAGTGTACTCGTACAATTATTTGTTACTGGTGTATTACCCGGAGATTGTCAGTAAACGTGTCACAAGTCAAGTCGAACGAATGGCCGTTATTTTTGGCATATTTGGCAAGTAGGTATACGAGTCGTCGGAACCCGGATTTTGGTAGGTATTTATTTACCTATACTACATTTTTCCTAATTAGAATGATAAAGTGCCCATATACCGATAAACCTATTTTTAAATAGTTTAAATAGAATTCTGAAAAAATATAACTGCGATTAAGCTAGTGGTTATTAACTTATAAAATATTATGTAAGGAATATTCTCATATACCTACGAGTAATGACGGGTAAATATAATAATATAATATAATGTAATAACACGCGATTTTAATATAACTGAATATTTAAAACAAAAAGTGAATATATGTTTTAAAAGGCGAACAAACCATACATTATTAATTCTTTTTTTTTTTTTTACTTATTTTTCCTATAAAAAAAACTTATACTTAATATTACTTACTATAATTTAGCAAAGACGTACCTAGTTAAATTTTTAAAACATTCTGGCGATCATTGATATCATTAATACGTAGTTATAACCGTAGTTGCATATTATCGTTTGTTTGATAACAATTATACTATAATATTTACAATACATATACAATTTACGATTAAATTCCAGCATAATAAAGAAATGGATAGGCCAGATATTTTTATAACAATTGTATATATTAGAAGGTGTTCTCAAAGGGTCGAAAAAATTAGGTGATTTATCAGTTATCAACACTGGTAAGGTAGCTTATACATATATTTATTATTTATATGCTCTAGTAAATTAGGTACCTACTCTGTCACGGTTTAAAAAAAATTCAAGGGGGTAATTTCCTCGTTATTCCCCTCCCTCTAATTTCTTCATTTGGTGAAGTATTCAAGATGTTTTAATGGGTGGGGGGACTAAACGTAGGGAATAAAAATTATATTAAAAAATAAGAAGTCTAAATCTATTTTGTATAAGCGTGCGCACGGGGGAGGTAGAAGCGGCTGCCTCCCCTGCGAAATTTTCTACCAAATATAAAAAAAAAAAAACATATTTTATAGAATATAGACGTATATATTTTTTTTTTTAAATACTAAACCTTATAACCTTAACTTCGTAAATTGTCACAAACAGGAGAGTTGTTTTTGGAAGATTTCAACCGCCTCTTCCCGTATCAAAAACTCAACAAAGCCTCCCAAAATACAGTACTCATCAAATAAAATACTATCTAAGTATTCAAAACCGATATTGTATTGACGAGGGCTTAAGCTCCCTTCTTAAAATATGTGACTATTTGTACGAGTGATTTTAGTGTAAGGTTTGGTTTCAATGATTGTTGCCTCCCTTGCTAAAAGGACCTGCGCACGCTTATAATACAAAGTTTATTCCTTGAGATTATTTTGCAAAATAGGTGGTGAATCCAGTGATGGATCCAGGAGAGGTTTTAGGAGCAATTTCCCCCCCTCCCGTTCACTCTCTGATAGTCTTAGCTTGATTCATCATTGAGCTCGTGATAAATGCGTGTCTTGTATGCATTTTTAAAATCGCTTCCCCCCGTTATCTTGTTCTAGATCCGCATCTGACCTACCTACATATCTATATATTATGCGTAGTTGAGAAATATACGGGGTTAGAGCCTATATGTGTTTTGGCGATTAACCAAATGGTTTACCTACTCTATTTTATAAACAAGTCATTTTAGTAGGTATTACTTAGGTTATAACTTTTGTTTATAGGTTAATGAAATATCATAACCGAACGAAATTAACGTTTATGATGTTTGGTTATTGATAAAGTAATGGTTAGATATTCTAGCCAGTACTAACTTTTTTTTATCAATTAATATTTTTGTAATAAATATAACCATGTCGTTTTTTCGAATCTATAACCATTAATCAAAATCATATAACCATAAATGATAATGCATACAACCAGATTAACCACCAAAACACGCCTAATAAGACTAAAAAAAATTAAATGTTATAAGTAGGTAAGGTTTGAAATGGCTTAGAGAAGACTAAGTCCTTCTAAGCGTCTTCTATTTACGTTTACACTTACATACCTAACTGTGCATAGTAAGGTAAGTACCTACTGCAATTTTATTATTATTCACCTACCTATACTAAGTTGAGTTAACCGGTTGGTAGGTAGTAAAAATGTGTAAAGATTATTTTATTAGTAACAAACTAATTATTATTAAGTTCAAAAAGATTCAAAATATATAATTTATATTATTTTGTATGTATTTTAGCACGGTCATCTGTGTGTGAAAGGCCAAGTTGTGTCGGCACCTCCCCCTACTGTTTTTTTTTTTAAATATGTCATTGTACATTCCATAATATTATCGTGTGTATTATAAATAAAACCCATATTATCATACTTCTTACTCTATTTTACATTTGACAAATTCTTTGGCACACCGCACGTTGTTGCAGTTGGCACAACTTGTTTAGGATATATTTTGGAAGTTGATACAACTATACGTCATATTACACAAGTTACAATATTAAGTGTTCGACATTATTGTAAAATCAATACATTCATCGCTTTGCTCACAATCGAAAATCTATTTATTTTTTAATGTTACATTTAAAATAGTGACAAATATATTATATTTTTAAATTTAAAATAGCATTCAACACAATTATTGTGTTTTCGTGATATTATTATTGTAAATACGCAACGTTCAGACGGAAAAACGCGGCAAATCACATCCGTCGTGTATAGCCGCTCTAATGCAAACCAATGAATATATTGAATCTGACCGAAAACGCTGTGGCATACGTGACGGAAAACGCCAAGTATAGCCCAAGGCATTATCGAATGTTTGTTGTTCGAGTATAATAAAAAATGTAAACATAATGAAATAATTAATACATTATACTATGCCTAGATATGCATCTAGATAAAATGGAATACCTAATCTTATGCAGCTCATATTATCGTGGCTGGTAACTATTTAACGAGCAAAATATTTACATTTATGGTAAGTCCTGATTGCACGAATAGATACCTAGTATTTATATATTATTATAATTTTATGTCCAATAACTACATAATATGTAATTATTATTTTTTAAATCGTGTGCATTTTTAAGAACAACATTTAAACATATTTTAGACTCGGAGAGGAACAAGGGATCTATTGCATTTACCATTGATTATATTATATTTAATAATCAATGATTTAACTATGTTTTTTTTTTTTTTTACTGAATCTGTGATTAACTTTCCGAATAAGAAAACTTGCTCCGATATATCAAGTGTAGCATCTTTTCAGAAAAGAATTCAGAAAAGATTCGTTTTTTTAATTTTCCCAGTAGTTTCCATTATAATTGGAAAAAATAAAAAAAGTAAACAAATTAAAATTGACAAATTTACAGCGTTACGATTTCATTATTTTACATTACATTTATCCGTTTTAAGTTTTTTACCAAAAATATTGTTCCAATGGAAAAACGACAAGAGACATTCTTTATTAAATTCTTAATTTAGTTGATGAGTTCAAAAGTTATTTTTTGATTTTCTTTGTAGTCTTTTTAATAATTGAACAAAATCGAAAAAAAAAAACGGGTTAAAAATTTTTATTTGGTGTGTAATATGTGAAAAACATTTTTTTTTTGACAATTTAAGAAACACACAGTTCTAAAACTTTCCCAGGGGCATGGTCACGAGTTTCAGAGGAGTTTTTTCATCAAATGTAAAACACAAAAAAAAAAAACTGAGGAAAAACGGGAAAATGTATGAATTAGTTAAAAATTATTACGTCCTTTGTAATTATTTTACTATAATGTGACATATTATATATTATTGACAAAGTATTGCTATAAATTGAACTTCACTCAGAATCGTTTTTTTCGTTAGTAATAGTATATCGTTGCTTACAGATATACATTAAATTCCCTCCTGTATCCTACCTTCCCAACTTTCCACCTACAACGATGGTTGCACCCGTTCCCATTATCCTAGTATAGCTTCTTAACTATTATATACTATATAATATATAGATAAAATTACAGTGTGTAGTTTTATTATTATTATTTTAAAATTGTATTACATAGTAATACTGAAAATATCGAATGTAATGACAATAATCCGAATGAAAAATACGATAATAAATGCGATAAACCCAATGAACAATACGATAATAAACACTATAAAATGAATGAAAAATACTACATTAAACACGATAAACGCGACAAGGTTAAATTATGGGACGCAAAAGCCGATTAGACAAATGATTAAAAAAATTACCCATCATTAATATTCATTATCTTTCCACATTCGGAACATAGAATGCTCAAGTTATCTATAGTTTTTTTTTCGAGCAATCAAGTTTTTCGGAAGGGAACATCATTTATCTCGACTTTGATAACTTTTCGACTTATCGAAGTTCTACTGTAATTTGTTTTTTCGTGTTTGAACCGACAACACTGGGGATCTGTTTTCACAATACTTCCCCACAACTAATGTTGATATCACTGTAGATATGTACCAATTATTGATAAAATTCGTTAGACAATAATACATATAATGAATGATACGTGAAATCCAAACTCCATGATAGGGGGGGAGTAATGAGGGTATTTGGGCATTTGCCCAGGATCATCAAAGCTTTTTAAAACTATAGGGCACTCGGCTCAAGATAAAACTCGAAATAAAATTAAGTATCAATATTATGAAATATGATCGGTTTCTATAATATGTTTGCTTAATAACATTATCACATTACTTGCTCTTTACATACAGATTTCAATACTATATTAATATTACTATAGTATAAATTGTACTAAATTTATATTTAGCGTACAAGTGTATTTATCTAAGAATATATGTCATGAGATCTATTAAACATGATATTAAATCAGATTTGTATAATGATAAAATTTTTAAAAATAAAAAATTTTGAGGGATTACTCCCAAATAATCCTTAAGTAAGAGCCTTAAGAAAGGGCGCTCAAAAATTGATACCTCTAGTCATCAAATGGCTTAACACGGCTCTGAAGTCAAAATAATTTTAGTAGATATATACGTTGTATAATATTGTAGTATCCACCTATATAAGTTTTTCATTTGATATTAAATTATTGGCGATATGGGTGGATAGGCCATTTTTTTGCCTACCGAGAAAGTTTAAAAAGGGCACCTACCCACATGAAAAAATTCGGATGTCCATTTTTTTGTTTACCGGTCTTATACATGGACTAAAATACCTAGATTCGTTACGTGATAAAATAGTAGTTCGATAGTTTCCATTAAGTCGTACTCATATAAATAACAAGTGCAATCTAAGAGATCCATTTGGGGGCCCACCAGGAAATTCCCAGCTTCCTGCCTTGGCGACCCTCTTTTAAAATTGTCCGACCCCTTTTTGCTGTCGAACACCGGAGTTGTTTGAGAATTTATGTATTTGTGAAACCTTTCTCGACTGGAGAAAACCAACAAACAATGAATGAGAGCCGTTTGGTTGCATCGTAAAATTCTTTATTGTGTTTGTAAAAGATAAAGCATAATTATTAAGAATATTTGAATTATAAAGTGTACGACTATTAAAATAATCAAAAAGTTTATTCATGAATATTATAAAATCAATGGTAAAACCAAATTCATTCCCTGTTACGCTTAGAATCTAAAACTAACAAATGCCAATACACCGGTTTTATTTTTGTTGATTTAATGGTTACTTCGGTCATAGGGCCAGAAAAATGATAAATAGAAAATACGATTATAACATTATCAAGGACTTTTTGTGTTTGGTGGGTTACCGATTTACCCCCCCCCTATTTTCCCATTTTTTTCTCCAAAATTGTTTATTATTTTCAAGATAAATGTATTTAATTATGTTCGTAATAAAAATAATTGGTTGATTTAATTTAAAATCCCTCCCGAAAATTAGGTCTAGCTATGCCTTTGAATACTACTTATAGGTGTATTCCACTTCTATTATTAGTGGTTTGAGAGGAAATTGTTTTCATAAAATGTTTTTTTTTTTTTAAATTGTCAACGGAAGTGATAACATAACATCCCATATTATATTTCGTTTAAAACATTGGTATGTGTTGTTATTTATAATTAAAATACGATTTACAAGTTATTATAAATATAATTTGTTTGGAAAGAATATCTACTGAAATATACGATATAAGGCTATTACCTAGATATTTCAAGTTACCAATAAAGTGCAATTATTGATTGATAAACATTAACAATTATTTTTTCTAGATTTAAAATACATTAAGTTATGACTTCAGTATATTATGAGTTTATGACTCAATATAATCAAAAAACATTCTCACAAATGATTATTATACCGTAATTTAAAAACACTGTATAATATGTACTACTACTACTACTACTACTACTCCGCATATAATCATTTTTTGTTTGTTATACATTTATAATTAATTGTTGTATACAGTACATAAATTAAATTACTCTGTATAATCTTACCTTCTTAACTAACTATAACAGTGGCCTATCAGTGAGAAATAAAAGTTTCTTTTTAAATCTATATTTTATATGATATTGTGTTTTTGAAATTCTAATTTTTTAGGTCCAAGTAATCCAAATATGTCGAAGGGACTTAACCCCGCCCAAAATGTTGCACACTAGGTGTATCTATACGAAGTATTTACTTGTCGAGGACTTTATTTGGTGGGGGCTAAGCCGATATTTAGAGGAGGCGCTAAACCGCTAAATCCCTCATTTGCACAGAGATTATTTTGTAAAATAGTGAATACCTACATAATTGTGCTAGTAACTTGATGACTGTGGTTGTTTTCCATACCCAGGTAGGTACCTAATAAGGGAAAATATAAGTACAATGATTATAATTTTTTTAATAATAAATTTGCAGTCTGAATAGTTCATATTTTAATATAGCTAATGGAGGAGGGTGGGGACTGAAACCTCTTTAGCCCATCTGGATATAATAATATAAAATAACGATTGGTTGTAGTATTTTTAGTTTAATATTATATTTATTGATTATTGTCAGACTATAAACGGCATAGAAAAGATTAATTGAATAAGTACTAGAATTTGTTGACAATAATATTTAGGTAGCTAATAGTTTTTTTTTAATATTGTACCGGGAATTTATTAGTATTATTATAATATATTGTTATCGATTTATTTCTCTTATCTTATTACATTATTATCGTTATTGTTTTAAAAAGACTAGCGAACAAGGAATTATAGTATATAATATTAGGTACCTATATATATTATATTATAATAAAAATTACATTTTTTTTATGACATACAGATAATTTTTATCGTATTATAATTATTTCGGTGTTGTATATTATTTTGAAATACCAAACCAGTCGTTTATCGAATAGGTAGGTTATATATTATTATTATGAACAAATACAAATCGAGTTGTATAAGAAATATTTTTATAATATTTATTAATTCGTTAATTTATTAACCTACCAATAATCACATATTTATGTAATAAGCGATTAGATTTGTGACAAGTATTTTAATAAAAATTGTTATTATAAAAACAACAAACGGACATACTTCACATGATGGGTGGGCCACTGTTGTAAGTGAAAAGTTGGGAAAGTAGAGGGGAAATTGAATGTATATCTTTACGCAAAGATTAATCATTGCTAACGAAAAACAATTCTGACCGGAGTTCGGTTATACATATTTTGAAAGGCCGTAATATATAATACATTTCGTAAATTTGCTCGTTTTTTTCCATTTATTATGAAAACCCACGGGTAAATCAAATAATGACATGGTAAGTACCAACCCAGTAAAATTTCGTTTCAGACAAAGTGCTACACTTGAAAATCGGAGCAAAATTTCTGGTAGAAAAATTATTCACAGAAAAATAAACATTATTGTAAAACCAATACAATAAAATCAACGAGTATACGAATAATGGGAATTATCTGATATTTTATAAAAAAATACAAGAATATTAATACAGTATTATGGAAAGTGTGTCGTGTCGGGCTTTCACTTATACGTTAGACTGTATACAAACAGCACCTAATTTATAAACCATTGTAACAAATTTACAATACAAACTGTGAGGTTTATTTGAAATAATAGTGTGAGATTAAAAACATGTGTTGGTTTTTTACGCGAAAAGTTTAGCGTTCAGGTAAATGACGTGTTATCAGGTTACCTATGTAGTATAGTAACTAATTTTTAAACGAAATATCAAGTATACAGTTTGGGAACGACTGGCCGCGGGCAGCTGGGGTGGCGGCCGACCAAACGAATAGGCTGGAGGAGTAACGAGGTAGAGTAGTAGAGGAAGAGGACCATACCCACGTAGTTGAAAACGTTTTAATATTATAATACGACTATTCGACCTAACCTAACTAAATAATAGGAAACGAACAATCGCGTATTGCGAGAAAACGTTGGGTGTAAGTAGCTATAGGTAGGTACCTACATATTTTAGGAAAACGAATATTATTATAACTATTTTCATTGATAGGTATTTATTTCGTTTTGCTAACGGAATATTTTGATTTCGGTGGGTTTACCGAGAGAAGTAATTTAGCATAATCGACAGGATTTTGTTGGGTCACATTTATTGTAGTCATTGGATATACATAAGTAGCGTAATACCCAATAATATAATTGGTATAATAGACGGTATTTTGGTAATTTATTGTCATTTCCACGGACTGGCACGGAGGCGGCTGGCCGGACAGACGGTTCGGTGGTGGAGGGCGAGGACTACTGTATTGTATAACAATAACAAACGCTACGCGGCGCCGCCGTCGTCATCGCGTCATAAACCGCAAAAAAGTGCGATCGCGTGCATGCGTGAGTGCGTGCGTGCGCGTACCGTGTGTACTACGAGTTACTACTGTGTACGTGTGCGCGTGTGTATTTTGTGCGTGTGTGTGGGCTGCGAAATGCTGTGTATACGCGAAGGATAACAACACGGACGTCGCGCGTACGTGTTTGTGCGGTTTTGGTTTGTTTGTTTATTTGTTCGTTTGTCTGTTAACAAAACATTTGTTTTGTTTGTGTTTTTTAGTGTAGTTGTGCTGCAGCGACTTTAATACACTTACGTGTATGCACGTAACACCGGCCGGTTGTACACTATAATAATATTGTTTTCGCATATACCTAATTGTCGTCAATTGGACGACTGAGAAAATGATAAAAGCGGCGTCGGCGTAACCTCTTCGAGTTGCGAGTTTCGGTTGGATAACGAACGACGTATACGATTGATATCGCATAGCAATATTGAGTCGAACCAGTCGGCGGCCAATCGCGTAAGAAATTCGTCGTGTCAAATTTCCCATCCATGGCGTCCATAAACAGTTCAAGTAAAAACGCTCAACATAACACGACTGCCGGAAGTAGCAACATGTACCGCGTCGGAGGTGGGTCGAAATCTCATTAAAATAAATATTTTGCAAATTCCTTATTATTTTTGTACAGTACCTACCTATGTATCAATGTTTTGGCTAATGCTATCATAGTTTAAAATGCCTATTAAATTAAAAAATCTAGTACATTATGGGCGTTTTGTACATTTTTGCTACAGGATACTTACTGGATAATGCTCATGGTTAAGCTACTGTTGTAGGGGGAATTAGGAAGGTAGTATATGTAGGATTATTTAATTCATACCTATTTGTACTCATAGATAAATCATTGCTAATGAAAAACAGTTCTAAACAAAGTTCAATTAAATGGGTTTTGAAATTTTACGATTTTTGTTAAAACATTTAAGTAATTTTTTTTAAAAAAAAACTACTACCTATATCACGCTCTCTAATTTTTTTTAGAATTTTTGCTCTGTCAAAACAATTTTATTCACATATATCTATATAAAAACTTTGTAAGAAAAAACTCTAAAATTTCAAATGGTTATACCTAGGTGCTTGTATAAAAAGTAAAACAATTGCTTGAATCTTTTAATAATTTGATCAGAGAAGTCTAATATAAGTGTCCAGTGAAAATTGTATGTATCTATGATTATTTTTAACTTGCAACAATAAATTAAAATCAAAAATAATTGAAACTCTTATTGTATAAATATTCTTGTATATTAATATTCTTTCCAAATTATTTAGAAAACCACTAGGAAAATCAATAATTTAATTCTCTGGTGTACCAACTTGAGAAAATTCTCAAAGTTGATGATCAAATTAAGGGTTTAAGTAGAAAAATTGTTCATAGACAAAAAAAATAAAAATAAAAATTCAATAAATAACACATGTAAAACTATAATTATAGATAGACCCAAAATAAAAATTATGAATAAAATACTTAGCTTTGAGTATTATGTACACCATTAGTTCTATATTATATTTATTAATCTGGACCAATCCTGATTGTTTACTATAATTATGACTATAAAATTATTCTTACTCATGCCTATTTAGGTTTAAATATATAGCATACTACTTATTTTGATTTTATATAATAGTATATACTTTAATATTCATAATAAATATAAAAAAAAATAAGTCAATAATGTTGAAATTATTTTAATTGTATTATATAAATTAGGTAATAGTTGTATAATTAAATATAATTCAAATTAAATAAATTATAGATTGTTTGACTATCAAATTATTGTTAAATAAAATTAATGTGCTTAGATTATGTGTACTTCGAGGCTCAACAGCAGTCTGTTCATGTCAATCAACAGCAACCGTTTCAAATACGAAGAATTGAAGAACTCAATAAGACTTCAAATGGTAATGTTGAAGCCAAAGTTATGTGTTTCTACAGAAGACGAGATCTCCCGGCTCAACTTGTCACTCTGGCAGATATACATCAACAGCGTCAACAGCAATTATCATTGACTATGTCACCAACTCTTAGGAATAGCGATATTAAGAGTGAGAAGCATACAGGTACAATCAAAATCTGATCAATCATTCATAAAAATATAGTTTATTACAATTTATTTTTAATAAGGTTTTAATAGTAAAATATTTTTTTTTTTATATTACAAACATGTTCAAATAATTGATAATAAAATAAATATTACAAGGCTTATTGAAGGATAATATAACAATTAAAAACTTAATGTTTTAGTAAGAAATAAGGTTGGTTTAGTTTAAAATACTAGTACACGGTCAAAGTTATAGATTTTTATTATTATGACTATTCTGATAAAAATTATAAGATAAATACGTATATAAAAAAAGTGGAGACAAAAACTTGGAATTATTTGTATACATTTTATTTAAGAGGAGATAGAGTATGTTTTTTGAGTGTGATTTTCAAAATTTGGTTAGTTCCTCTAATGTAAAATTTATTGTATTAAATTATACTTCAGATTATACATTTTTGAGTTAATATAATAATCACGCCTATCTGGAATTTTATAAATTTAAATTTAATTTATATTAAATATATACCATTATTTTTATGAGTTTCTTGGGCTCGATAAGTTATCAGTTCCTGTGGTTGATTAACAGAGTATACAAAAGATACAATAGCAGATAAAAAAGAACAGGATACTGGAATGAAAAAAATGATCAGAACAGAAGAAGATCAAACTAGTACAAAAACTGAAACAACTGATGGGGCTGAATCCACGAAAGAAGAACAGTCTCAATCACAGGATATTGAGATAGCAGATGCAGTAGAAACTGATCTTGTTGCATCTGCTATTATTAAGAATTGTGATCTACAAGGAGGTGGAAATGATGGTGATATCAACGATACACGTAAATATATATTCAATAGTATTGTGTAGTATATTATGAAAAACTAATAGGTTTAACAGGATCAGATATTGGAAAAGATTATGACAAGTCTATACTGGCTGCACAACAGCAACACGACTGGTGGCGTGGTGAACAACTTAAACAACGTGAATTGTTTCTAAGTAGGCAAGTTGAAACATTAGCAGCAACACACATACGTGGAAAGTGTACTGTTACATTATACAATGAAACTGAATCTATGGAAAGTTATTTGGAGAAAGAGGTAAGGATAAAAAAATATTTTAAAATACTTATTTAGATGAAAAATATTTTAAAACTAATTAAACTATTCTTTAAGTGTTGTTTGGATTGTTTTAAATGACAATTTTTAATTAGTGCCTTCAGAACTGAATGAGTAAAACATTCCTGAACGTCTCTTAAAATTTAATTAAATTTTTTTGTACAATTTAAAATTATTAGTTTAAGTTAAATACTAATATTTTAATAAAATAGTTGGTAAAATTACAAATAAAAGAATACAACTTCTTGCTTTTTTTTTAAAATGTTTTTATTTGTTAATTAATAATGACTAGAACATGTTTATAAATAGGTATATTTATTTACCATTTCAATTAATGATACTTTCAAATTGTTTCTTTAGCAAGAAAAATAATTGGTTTTGGAATATTTTGTTCAGTTTTTTGTTCTCATATGAAATATGCAACATAAGTGATACTAATGAATTAAAGTGGTTATATAATTGGTTAGAAAAAGATTAAATAACAAAGATAATTTGTAGATAATTTTAGTTATATTTACAGGCTATTTAATATTTTAGTAAAGGATTGATATGTGTTTAAAGATTTTTTTCTCATTTTTTTTTCATTGCTGAATATGTACTATTTGGCTCTACATACACAAATATTTTCATAAATGTAGAGTTCCTAGTGTTAAAACAAGTTATGATAAATTTAAATAAACATGGTAACAATAAATATGGTGTCTATTATGGTTAAATTAGGATCTTTATAATTATTTTATATTTAGAGACAAATAAAAATTGTATGTTATACTACTTTGTTTGATAGTATGTTTTACTTGTTTATTTTATAATTATATTCATCTGAATATTAAGAAGGTAATTTTTATAAAGCAAATAGGCATCTAACTTAACTTGTAGCCAAATATTTTTTTTCATTTAGCTAGCAATCGTACATTTTGAAAATATTTCATTGAGCATTTGAGTATTTGATTTTAATATATTTTCTTCAAAATGTTTGTGATGTCATTGTTATGCTATATTGTTGATGGGTATTGAGTAATTGGATTTAATTGTATTATTTTATAACTCAATGACTAAAAGTTGAGGATTTGATGATGCTTATTAAGATTTTCATTTTGAAGTGATGGTAAATTAAATACATTTGTATTTTTTTGAGGAGTATAAAAAAGTGTTCCCCCTCTACCTTAGCTCCTATGAATTTAATTATAAATATTATTAATAACTAAAACAAAGAAATCACTCCATTGCTAGTGTTTTATAAATTGTTGCCACATTCATGCAGAGTATTATTAGTAAATAGGCCAATATTATAGATGGGATATAATATATAAGGTAATTAGTAATTGTTTATGCATTGGTAATTATTGCAAATCAAAAATGATTTTGATTTTATTAATATATTTTTTGATTTATTAAAATTAAATATTTATGCACATTTTGAAATAAAAAAAATCATTATTTAATATTAAAAAATTTCAAAAAAATTTTTTTTTAACTACTTTAGCATTGCACCTAGAGTGGGCAGGTTATATTGCCCAAAAACTGCCTAGCGTAGTGGAATCATAAATCATGTGGTACATAATTTTTACAATTATCAAGTTTAAATATTCTAATATTAATTTTTTCCGAAAAAAAAATTTTAATAGTTTTCCTATGTATCATCAGTTAAAATTATATTATTATTATTTAAGCATTGAGATTGGCATCTTTATCAATAAAAGAGAAGAGCTGGAAGGGCTCGTGCCATTATCACTGCACTCAAGGCAAGAAATTGGTAGAGTGCCCGTATTTGAAACATAAAAACCTGCATTAAAAGTGCCCCAATGTTTCATATGGAACATAAAAATGTAGTCTATGCATTTAGGTGAAAAAATACTAAAGGTTATCACAAAAGTGGCACTAGAATAACTTTGAAATTGCCCATCATTGTTGAAGATCATAATCAAAAATAAAATAAAATACTATTTTATTTAATACTTTAAAATTATTGTGCATTTGTAATACTGTTAGTCTACTTGACAAGATATAAATATTTTTGATAATATTAAACAAAAATAACATAATAATAAATAGCCAAACCATGTAAAATTTATTTATTAAATTAAAAAACATTTAACAAAACTAATAATGGTGTTATTATCACAAAGTAATGTATAATTTTGTTTAAATTTTGTGAAATTTAAAAAAAAAAAAATTGTACAAATTACAATTAAACAATTAAAATATTATAATAATGTAGTGAATAACTTTGCTAACTTTAGTTATCATGAGAAAAATAGCATAATTTGCACTTTAAGTCTACTTGACTAAAATATAAGTAATTTTCGATAAAATTAAAAACATGTTGATTATAATATTAATTAATCAGCTCAAGTATTAAAAAAGAATTTAAATGAATAAATTTAGTCTTAACATTTTTTATTTTTATTTATTTTCTTATTTTAAAACTAAAATTTAAAATATTATGTTGATAATGAAATGGTGTAAGTGTCAATTTCTTTATCATCGAAAATACCAGAAAGTGGAAAAATTGTTATCTGTCATCAATGTTGTTTACACCATTTTCCATTTTTTCCATTATCTCTTACTCCAATTTAGTGGCACTTACAACCAAAATATTTACATATCAATTAACCCAATTTTTATTTTTGTCACTTACTAAAAATAAGAAAACCTTGATAAAATATTTATTCATTACATTGTTATCAAACCTGGTGTATTCAATGCCTCATTGTATCACTTTACGCCTTATTGACAAAAAGTCAGTTTTAGTAAAAATGTCACTTGCATTAATTTTATTAGCTTGCAAACAGTCTATATATTTTCTTTAATATTGTACCTATTTTCCTTGGTTTCCTATGCTTTTCCATGTTTTTTCCTGTTTATCTAATTATTGAGAAAATCAAAAAATGTTTTCCTTAAAATACCACCACAGTCAGATTTCTTCTCAGAAAAAGTGGTATCAGTATAAATCGAAAATTTGACAAGAGTGGTACATTAAGTATGTCATTTTTTGATTTTCTCAGTTGTTTTCATAATTGGAAAAACAGGAAAATGTACGAATTGTATTATTCTAAAATCATAAATAACATTATCATTAAATCAAAATGTTTTGCCTTTTAAAACATGTATAACAAAATTCTACTCAAAAATTTTACATTTTCCTTAGCAATGATTAATTGTTGTATACAAATATACATTAAATTCCCCTCTATATATTACCTTACCAACTTCTAACCTATAACAGTGATCCACTCATTGTGCAAAGTGTGTCCCTTTTTTTAAATTAAATTTTGTGTATACATTTTCAAATATTATTTTTAATAAATATATATTTATATTTTTGCTCATACTTTAGTCACCTCATTTTGTTTTCGCTCTAACTGCTTTTAGTCTTTTGTCATTTAACCATTAGTTACATCATTATGTTCATTTGACATTTTATTTCATATGTTAATCTGAAACAAAGCAATTTTCTGACATTATATACAGAATGTGCCATGAAAACAAATATCCCTAATTCAATATTTAGAAAATAACTCTAGATTATAATTTTTTTTTTATATGAACATTATTTTTTCTACCAGAAAGTTTACTGAATGTGATGTAGATTATTTTCTGAAATTAAATTTTCTTAGGGTGGTACTTTAGGGAGGTCAGTTTTTAATTTTTTCAGGAGTTTTTTTTAACAAATTGTGAAAAACTGCAAAAAAAAAAAATAGGAAAATGTAAGAAATGTAGGTATTAGTCAAAAAATATTATTTTTATTAAATAAAGTAATATAGTAAATAAATATATAAATAAAAAATTTAATTATAAAAATAATACAACCACATTTGAAGTATGTCCATCTTATTTTTATTGTAATGCTATTTAAATATTTTTAGAGACTTTACATTATGACAGAAAACTTATTATTGCCTATTTTAATAAAATTTACAAAAAAAACATCTGAGCCAATTTTGAGCTATCTATAGACATTTTAATTTTGTGAGTTTTTTATATAATTGTTATTTGGTAGGTATTTTGAGTATAAAATTGTCAGAGTAAATAGAAATGCTTGAAAATTTGACATAAGGTTTGTTCATTATAAGTCCTACTTAGTTGTCAAAAAAAAAAAAAAATAGATGTCTTAGGATAATGGGGTAGGGTGTAACTAGAATGTTCTTCGAAATCACTTTTGTTACTTTCCAGTCTTTTCTCAAAATGTAATTATTATGTGACATATCAAATTTTATTATTTTAGAAGATCATATATATTAAACATCTTATCAATAACATTGTTAGAAAATTATCAATTTTTTACTTTCGTACCTACCTTTTATCCTTTTATTTAATTAATTTGTGTTCATTTAAAAGTACACAACTGACACAACTATATAATTCACAATTGCACAAGTACACAAAATGGACATATAGTTGTGCTATTATTTGTTGTCAGTAAGTTATAATATATTTTCTCTATTTGAGTAATTTCCCTGGAAAAGTCCATGATTTTTTATTCCTGGAAAAGTGCCCATCCCTAGGTGTAACCACTGTTATAGGCAATTTAATGTATCCAAAAAAAAATTTTGTGGGAAGTTCAGTTGATAGTGATGTGATGCTTTGTTAACAATATGTATGTAACTTTATAGTAAAATAATTAAATAGGCTTTGTTTATTTTCCTTAATAATATTTGTTTAATGTGGTATCAATTTTCTCAGTTTTCTTACATTTTTCCTGGTTTTCCCATGTTTTATTTAGGTTTTTCACATTTGCTGGGAAAACTCTTGTGAAAATCAAAAAATGACCTCCTTAAAGTTCCTTCCCACGCTGATTTCATTTCAGAAAATGTGTACGTATAGAAATCTGAGCAAGTCTTCTGGTATAAAAGTTGCACACAGATAAAAAAAAAACATCTTTGTAAAACTATAAAATTCTTCACTCTACTCAGAATCTAAAATTAAGTGTATTAAGTTTTATTTTATTAAACAGTATAATTTAAATAAATTACTTCGTTTAGGTTAACCTGTAATATGATAGTAATAATTTGAAATTCTTCTTCAAATAATTTTTAAATTATAAATTATATAAAAAAGAAAAAATTAAATTTAAATGATTAGCTTTTAATAGTTACTTTTAATAATAATGTTAAATTCATATAGTACTTTTCAATATGTATTAAAATCATAAATTATGTTGAAAAAATTGAAAATAGTAATTTAGGTAATTGTGATATATTAATAATAGCATTGAATAAAATTTAAAATATTCCATACATTTTAAAAAGTCACATCTAAATTTGTAGACTTTAATTAAAACTTCTACGGAATGCATTTAACTCATTTGACTATAAATTTAATCGGTTGAAGACAAATTGTTAATTTATCTTATAATTAATATATAAATATTTATACATAAAAAAAAAATACATTATTTAATTTTAATATCTTACAAATAATTAAAATTATTTCTATTTATTATCTGGAACAGGATACTTTTTTCTACTGTCTGGTATTCGATCCTGTACAGAAGACTCTTCTGGCAGACAAGGGTGAAATACGAGTTGGCCATAAATACCAGGCTGAGGTACCACCAAAACCAGTATATAAACGTGGAAGTGGCAGTGATCCAAAAATAGCTAAGCAGATAAAAAGTGAAATTGTAAAGGAAGAACGCAGAGATGAGTCAATGGAGTTTGCCCGAGACACTGAGGACAAGAGAGCTGAAATAAAATCCTCTACTACAGTTTCAACAGTGACTGCAATTGGAACAGTGATGGCAGTGGAAAGTGATTCTGATCTTGAAACATTAGTATGGACATGTAGGCCGCAATGGAATCGTTTGACTGACAGACAGATTGATCAGTTTTTGGTTGTTTCTCGCTCATTGGGTACATTTGCTCGTGCTTTGGACTGCACCAGTTCAGTGAAACAGCCTTCGTTGCATATGTCAGCAGCCGCAGCATCTCGTGACATCACATTGGTGAGTTTTATTTTTACATAATTAATGATTTATTTAAAATAAAAATTGAGCATTTAAAAAAAAAAAAATATTTGGCCAGTTAATATTATTTAGGTTAATTTTATTTTAGTTTTGTTAATTTTGTACCTAATGGTTAATTCTCCTCTGCAATAATGTCATCAATTTCTTTACCAAAGTTCATTTTTTTAAATGTATTTAGTATAAGACATTTACTAGTTTGGGTATCAAACAATTTTAAATGAACTTGTGGTGTCAATATTGTTTTTTTTCCTATCATTTGTTTTAGTATCTAAGTTAATATTACATTTTTGTATTTTCTGAATTAGATTTTGTGTTTGAGGGTTATATGTTTAGTGAAAAATTAGAATATTTTCACCACTTAATAACTAAAAAAAAAATAGAACATTTCATTTGTTCACTTTTCTATACCTAAATATTGAATGTGTCATACATATATAATATTCAATAAATACATTTTTAGTAATAGCTATCTGTTTTGGTTTCTAAAGAAGGGGTGTAAAACAAACAATCATAGGAGTATCTATTTTATTATACCTAGTGTTGTGATTGTGATTTATTATTGCATAATGTTGTAATAATATATTAAATATAATTTTTTCTATATACTTTCTTCAGAAGATTGTTAGACTCAAATTATTAGAATAATCCTTAATAATAAAAAGTCTATTTTGGTTTCTTAAAATTTAATTTTTTTCTAAATACATAAGTCCTTCCATAGAAAATTTGATAAAAAAACAAAATCAATATTAATAAAGATAATAACGCTGTATATAAATACAGCTATACTCACATAAATTTTCACTAAAGTTACTATTTTAGAATATTGAGTCATCTTTTTTAGCTTTTATATCCTAGTTTTCTACTGGCAGCATTAACTGTCATTATAAAATCGTTCTATTCTGTGAGTGTTCTGTGCCAGACATTATCAGTATTACTCAAATAATACTGTCTAATATATACATAGATAATAAGGAATGGATAGCCTATTCCTATAGTTTCAAATATGAAGACTGGAATAAGGAGGTCAAACTCCCCTTTTGATGTATGCTAGGGTTGCTACTTCCACCACCATAGTATAGTAATTATTCATTTTTTTTTGAAATTTTTAGAAAATATATGCCTTATTTTAAATCATGACCCATCATAGAATTTATAGCTTGTAAAATTATGCATTCATATATGTGTATATTTCATAAATATTTTTGTATACTAGAATAATATAGTCTTCATGAATCATGGTTATTGCTATATTTAGCACAATATCTATGTTAAACTTATGATGATTAAGTCAAAATATTATTTAATTTAGTCTATTAAATCTATTAAAATATATATTAAGTATTAACCCTACAATACATGATTTTCTTTTTTAGTGTATAGTATATACTATTAATTACTATTACTAGTAATATTTTAAAGGTAAGATACTTTGGTAAAGTAATTAGGTACATCAGGATTCAATATACGTGTACTTTATTCATATAGTAGCGGGAAATGATAAATGCATACTTTTGCGTGTAAGTAACAACTGTCTTTTATAGTTTAACAAATAAAATAATTGAATTATCTCTTTGGTATCTTAAACACAAGCAGTTTAAAGGTATATTAATTTAATTTTTTTGTGTACTATAGATGTAAATTTGCAATCATAAATCATAGGGAAATTCCATTAATATTTCAAATTTCTACACACTGAGGACTAAACTATTGATAACTCATTTAATAATTTTGATTATAGGCTGAAATCTCCTGATTTTTAAATAAAAACTACTTAATATATTATCACATTTATGTTAGATTACAGTTGATTAATAACTATCTTGCGTAGATGGGTAATTTATTAAAACAATTTTTGTTGGTTATTGTCGTGAAACAACACCATGTATTGTAGAGTATGTTTATGAAATATACACATATTATGCACACGTATGAATGCGTAATTTTACGAGTTATAAAATGTATCATTATACATTTTATTTAATAGGTCATGGTCACAATTAATGATTATACTGATTAGTGGTTGCCCTACAAGCTTTGTCATATTGTCATAAGCGTATTACATAACAAAGGAAATTGCTTACAGGAATAGCTGCTTTATTAACTTAGTGCGCTCTCTGTCCGTGAAAATAGTGTTTTATTTCAATATTTCAAATTCACAAATATATTTTTTGAATTGCGTTAGCAATATAATATAGTATATAAATATTTCACTGCGGTCTGCTAGCTTTACAGAATTGTTTTATCATCGAGTAATTATAAAGACCACAATTTCATAGTCCGTTGGGTAACCAGCATATCTTAAATCATAGTCATGATTCGATGTATTATGTATATATTTTCCAAAAAACCACGAATATAGGTGCCTTCACAGCTTACCGTGAAACGTCAATTATTCTAGAACTGATTGGTTGAACCATGTGGTTATTATGTAGTGGTTAACTAGTGGTCAATCATCATTTTTGATTTTAATACCTTCCCTATATCGCTTACACCGGATAGGTGAGTTTAATCCTAGTCGGACCGTGTGTTCACCACGGTTTAAAGATAATGGTAAAAACTATTTTAAATTGTATCAATCATGGTGAACAAATTGTAAATTATCACGTTTCACTGTGAGCTGTTAAGGCACCTTAATCCCATACTATGTGTGTTAAAGTAGTGACCCTAGCGTACGCAGCGTAGCCTGTGGCCGTTTAATCATGCAACTCATTTCGCGACGTTTTTTACGCTGGCACCCGTACGAGTTCTAGTCATGGTTTCAAGTGTTTTTCAACGTAAGCTGCCGCGTTCATAGAGAACAGATATATTATTTCTCATAAAGCTGCCTATACCGCAATGGTTACTGCTGTTTAATGTTTGGTTAATAATTTTTATCATCATCACTAATGTGATAATATAATTAATAATATCCCGAGCTAAGATAATATGGACTGGCAACGACATGGCAGGTTCCGCATATTCTGATTAAAATAAAATATAATATAGTATAATAAATATTATTTACTTCTTAAGTATAGACCTCAGTAATTATTAATAATGAATTAATTTTAATAATAATGTAAGAAATATATTCTTATCACTAAAACTATTATTATCTAAAATAATGCCATCTAGCTTGAAATGTGTTAATTAAGTAACACACATGGCGGTGAAAAAAGTATCAATATAGCTGAATATGGGCTGATATTAGATTTCCATATCTATATTCTTATTATTCAGATAATATGATAATGAAATTATAATATTTATTTATATTTATAATAATATTAATATGGTAGTATAATTATTAATTACGAAGATAATATGGACTGGCAATTGAACCAATTTCTTTGATCGAGTTTTTGACGAAATTTTCGTAGAGGGGAAATCCAGAGATTGAAGTGTGTAGTCTATTGAAGAATAATAACACTTATAACACAATGAAGTAAAATTGGAAACCGTGTAACCACGAACGTGGTAACTTTCAAAAAATGATAATTGCATAAATATATAAATAAAACATTTGTATATAGAAATAAAAAATAAATAAATGAATTAATGAATGCGTCACCTGGAGTATTATAAGTATAATATTATTTTTTATATTCAGTCTTGGTTTACATTTTGACTGTGATATACCCGATGATAAATTTTTAATCCGAAACAGGTCATATAATACATTTATTTATTTTTTATTTCTATTTATACATTATTTATTTATTTATTTATTTACAAGTATTAACCATTTTAATCATTTTGTTTTTATTTATTATTTTATTATTGATAATTGTATGTTAGTATTACATACGCTGAATCTGCACCATTATTTGCACGAATTCTCGCAGTAGGTACTAAATTGTTCAGGAAAAACGGCTAAATTGTTATGGTTCTTAGATGTCTCCCACTTAGGTATTATTCTCCTTCAAAAAACTTGACCACACCATTACCACATTACCCAAATAATCCACATTACCCAAATAATCCACATTACCACCCACTGCAATGATGTTGTCAACCATATTATCCATATTACAGTATAATAGTAATATTCTTATTACCTTATGATATAATCTTAGTTCATGATATATAGATTATAGATAACAAATTATGACTAAACATTTACTTTATACTTTGATCATAGAATATTCTGAAATAGTTAAAAGTAGTATATAACCTACATGGAAATTATAAAAAAAAGTCCTTGATCAAAAACCATGCTAGGAATAAAAGCCCTGTTGTAGAAAAAAAAAAAAACACAGTTGTAAATTAATATATACATTTTAATAATAAAAGAAACAACATAAATATTTATTTTACTTATTATTTAAAGTTAATAAAAACACACAAGGATCTATACAAAAATATATGTAATAGATTTTAAAAAAAAATCAGACTTTTAAATCTAAAATTATAATTTTCAGAATTTTGAAGTCTAAAATTCATCGTTTCGGATTTTGAAATCTGTAATCTAGATTCTTGGACCTTAAAATCCAAAACCTAGATCTAACATTTATAATATCATATTATTTGTATAAACGATACACAATCTATTTATCAATATAAAAATAATTTGTTCTCCAATTATTTATAAAAAATGTATATATTGATAAAAAAATTGCCTAAAAATGTAATACAACAAATCTTATAAGAACACTATTTTGTAATTACAGTGTATATTGTGAGGTTATGTATCCATTGTTATGATTATTAATTATTTTATGTATTTTGTTTTATATTATAATAGTTCCATGCAATGGACACTCTGCATAGGCATGGTTATGATCTTGGTACTGCCACTTGTTCCCTAGTGCCTAGTACAGGACCGGTATTGTGCCGTGATGAAATGGAAGAATGGTCTGCATCTGAAGCAAATTTGTTTGAAGAAGCATTGGAGAAGTATGGCAAGGATTTTGGTGACATACGCCATGATTTTGTTAGTATAATATTTACATTATTTAAGTTTTTAACAACTTAAATAAAACATTTCCCAGTTATAATGTGTGGTTTACTTACTAGTATTGTGTAATTATGTTATCAGTACAATGTATTTGAATAATTTTGACATATCATTATAGCTTCCTTGGAAAACACATAAAAACATTGTTGAGTATTATTACATGTGGAAAACAACAGACAGGTATGTGCAGCAAAAACGTGTTAAAGCTGTTGAACAAGAATCCAAATTAAAACAAGTGTACATACCTTCGTAGTGAGTGTATTTTGTAATATTTATTATCTTTATTTATAAAATATGCTGTTTAATAAAACTTCAAGTTGATATTTTTAGTAATGGAACAAACACAGGTAGTGGAAAGCAGCAGTCTATTACATCAGGTTTAACAGTCAAGTCGTCACAAACACAACAGCTTGTAAATGGAAACTCCGGAGCCATAGAACTATATTCATCAAAGAATAGTGGGGGGCTAATGTCTACAGCAGGAGATGGTCCATTATTACCTGGAGTGTGTGATTTATGTGATGGTGAGGAATCATTTTAAATTTTTGTTATGTGTATAATTATATTATACACTGTACACTTAAGAAAACAATTATTTATGTTAAAATATATATTTTGACTTATTTATTTTTATTATTATAAATTATAAATAAATAGTTACCTAATTTATGCGTATAAAATCAGTTGTTACTTCACAACAATGGTATCCGAACACACTTGGGACTACAACTGGAACACCATCAGTATCTTCCTATCACCAACAAAATGGAGGATTATCTTCAGTAGCATCTTCTACATTATGCCATGAATGTTGGACCCATTGGAAAAAATATGGAGGTCCTAGGACTGCCACGTCAGATAAAAAAGTTATTGCTCCTGCAAGAGGAGAAAGCATATCTGGAGATGAAGGTAATGATATTATAAATACCATAAGAATATTGTATCTAAAATATGTTATTCTGAGTATATTTGTCCTGTTCGAAATAGTCATTTTTCTAATCAAATATGATAGATTAGGTATCCATTGTTGATGTGTAATGTTGTGATTATTACTATTACATATCTTTCCATATAAATCTTTTAACTTGTCAAATATTTTTCCATATTAGTTTTTATAATGACAAAAATACTTCGAGTACCCGGTTTTAAATTATAAAATGTCAAAATATTATGTAAAATAATTTATATATATATATGTTTTATAAAATAATTTTTGTCACATTTAACAAAAATAGATCGTCCACATTCTAATGCATCATCTGGTTCCGTCGCACTAGCAATGAATCTGAATATATCAGGTGGTGGTGGTAGTAGACTTTCATCTCACACAGGAAATATGTCAGTTCCACCTCATTCCTATCATCATATTAGTTATCACAATAATCAACCGCTTCAACAACCACAATCAGCGACATCTCCAAGTGGTGGTGCTGGCTTATTACTTCATCAGCCACATATCAACTCATCTGGATCCTCAACAATTACTCACAGATGCACTATTATTGGGTGCCAAGTAGCTCCATTCAAAAGCAAGTCACAGCTTTTACGACATTATAGTGCGGCACACGGCATTGGGATTAATTCCAACAGTAGTCCCACAACCATTATCACACAATCAAGTGGATCTACCAGTGGTTTTGATAGTGGAGGCGGTGGAACACTATCCAGTTCTAGTATTCTCCACCATAGTTCTGGTGGGCCTATAAATTTGAACAGTAATAGTAATTCAGTACAACATCAAAACACTATTAGTGGAACTGCTAATCAAGTAATTAATCTTGTGGCCTCATCATTCTCCCCACAACAACAGCCAAATAATCTTTCAAGTGGAGGAATAAATACTGCATTAAATATTGGACCAGGACCAGGTGCTATGATTCCTGGTCGGCCAGTTATGAAAACAAGAACAGCGTTTTATTTGAGGTGTACATCATTGGCAAAGGCTAGTAGGCGCCGTGCTGCACGACAAGCAGCTTCCACATTACTTCAGCAACATCACCAGAAAAAATCATCAAGTGGTACATCTGATATGTTATCGCCATCCATGATACTTCAACCAGGATGTCTGGCCCGTCCCAGGAACGTTGCCCGTAGGCCATTTATTTGTGTCCCACAAGCTGCACACGCTTATAAACATGAATGTAAGTGTATTAAATATATTTTTATAATATAGTTATTGAATGTATTTTCATAATTTTGATGGTTGTTGTGACTGTACTAACAGTGGTAAGATAGATGTGGTTATTTAATGGTTGTGCTTCATTATTTATGTTTTTAAATTCTTCATAGGCATTTTCCATAAAAAAAAAATTGTAACAATTATTTAAAAATGAGTAATTTTGATCTGAATATTATAATTTATAATATATGCAATAATCTCTTGTTGACTAACAATATTAATTTTGCCAATAGTACTTTTTAAATAATTACAATCTACAGGCCAATTATTAAAAATTTGTTTAGAAGTTCTTTTTGTTCAAAAAATTTAAATTTAAATTGCCCTTTTCAGTTTTTGAAAACATTTTGACTTATATATTTGACTTCTGATAGATTTTCTGAAAAATAAATTTTAACTTTTTTTTTAATGCTTATTGTGTCGATTAACTCTCATCATATGATAATGTTGTTTTTTTTTTATCTAGAAATAAATTGTAAATCAAGTTACAAATGGTTTTTCATATTGCAATTCAAGAAAATAAAAGTTCTGGAGTTTATTACAAGGAATATGATACAAAGGGGAAAAATTATTTTTAATTCCAACTTTACCATTAACAAAAAAAAAAAAACAGAGATTAACTAAAATGTCTAGGTTCAGTAGCACTTGTCATAATTAAGCAGAAATATGCAAAAAAGCAAAACTAACTAGAAAAACTTGAAAACAGCAATTTGTTTAAAACCAATCAAAAAAAGTTTAAAAAGCATTTTTTCAAATTGCATATTTGAGATCATTGTAACATGACATGAGTTTCCCTTAGCACTGGATTTTATGTAAGGCCAAAAAAATCAGCAAATGTTTTTAGTCCCGAACACTGATTATTATTCGACCTGTGTGACTTAAATCTCTAACCCTCTAAAACTCTAATAATAGGTATTTCCTGCTTGTGGCTGAATGATAATTGATTATTAATTAGCGTAATTAAAATAATACAGATTAAAAAGCTATGTTTGCATTGGAGTAAGAACTGCAAAAATACATACACAGTTGACGTGTTTTAAGTTAATTAATGTCTGATTCAATAATTAATTTTTTTTTTTTTTATTATTTTGTATGGCACTTGTTTAATGTATTTGAATATTGTACTTTCCCGAACAGGTATGCTATCAATGCAACATGCTCCCGTTCAGGAACTTAGAGCATACTTGAGAGCTGCTGCAATTAAAGCGCATGCTCGCAGACCTGGAGTCACCCGAGTGGCCAATACATTGATAGCTGCCAGAAGGGGCCGCGGTGGACCCACTGCTGCCGATCTAGCCGTACCAGATTGGCTGTCTTTGCCATCCCAGCAGCACCAGCAACACCAGTCGTCACACCATCATGTCTCTTCTTCAGCAGGATCAAAACACGGCAAACATTCTTCTTCGAGCAGGTCATCCACAGGAGGACGCGTTGCATTTCCGAAACCACCAAAAGCACCCGGTTAGTGTATACTGTATTATATGTACTATTAGATATATATTTAGATCACTTATTAAATTTAATGAAATTAACTTCAAAAAAAATAAATTAGTTAATGGTGTTAGATGCTAATTGAGTTTGGTTAAAATAAATAAATATAGCCTTAAAATTAATTATTAGTTTTTACAATATACGTTAGTTTTCATCATTTTGTCACCCATATTTTGCAACTCCCTAATTTTTACTTTTTTTTCCTGAGGTTATTGATATGTATCTATCATGATAGAAAAAAAAAAATAAATATATTTTTACCAAGAGGTATTAATATACTTGATTTTTACATAATACAATATAATATTTTAATAATGTGCTGTTACTGTAGAAAAATCATTTCTGACAACAATTAATGAAGGTTAATTTATCTATTCCTCTAAAATATTTATTAGGTACATATAAATATTTTCACTAAAAATATTTAAAAAGGTACTATAACTTATACATTTTTAAGAAATAACTAGTATCTACTAGTAATTGGAAAAAAAAAACAATGAGACAAAAAGTAACTTTATAAGTTGTACAATTTTGATTAGTAATTAGTAACTTAACTAGTTAATTTTTTTATTCAGGAACTTGAAACTTAACTAAGTTATTTAATTTAAGAAAGTAATTAACTTACTCAGGCTGACTTGTAGTAATGTTTACAGAAGTATGGATCTCTTTGACTCATATGCTTTCTTTGGTTTCTTCTGCTAGACTTAAGTATTATGATTTAGTAGATTATAATGTGATGCAATTTCGTTTTTTCTTTGCCCAAAACACTAAAATTGTACACTTTAAAAGTGTACCCATTTATGGATTTCTTATGGTTTGTGTTGTTGGCCTAGCTCGCATCTGCATACCCAGTTACCATTTCTTAATTTTTGTAGGATTTTTTGTGTATTAATCTCATGTTAAATGTTATTTTAATACTGATTTAAACAATTATAATATTATGTGGTAATTTCAAACTTATTGTTGAACACAGATCTGGTTTTAATTCTAGCATTGCACACATTATGCAGTCTACTAGTTCTCTGTATAGTTATGTACATTTGGTGTCTGTTTTAGTGAAGGTAGGCTTTAGTTGCATTAGTGTAGAGGAGGGTTTGCAGTTAGTCATTTTGAACCTCTCTAACAGATTGTTTAAGTAATTGCTTCTGACTAAGACTGAATTTTTCAATTAAGTAGTAATCGTGATAACATATTTGTAATCATTTATCATTATCACCAAATTTATCACATATTTACAACTTAACTATACACATACAGTACTGTGCTAATTGGCATTGGCGTATTCAAATATTCATTTAAAATTGTGTGCCCCATACATTTGTGGTATCTTCAGTATCTTATAAAAGTTTCCCCTTTGTTCCCTTCTTAGCATGGTCCTGTATACATATACATATAACTGTAGTAAGTGAGAAAAGTAAGAAGTATACTGATGAATAAGTATAAGGAAATTAAATGTTTATAGGTATTACTTATTAGGTTAACCTAACCTTTATAAAGACCATTGTTATATTATTAACTGCTGTAATTTATTAATTTACTAATTAATTTAATTTATTGATTCATTGTACTCAGTATCACAAAGAAGGGGAAGGTGATGTAGGTGTTTCCCCTCTGACAATGTTTATTCATTGTAGATAACTATATAACATGATAAAAAATAAATTATTTTATAATATGGTTGTATTTATTTAATTTATTAATACAAACATTTTTATGTTATTATAGATGGGAGTTTATTATATGAACGAGTGCCAAATAAACAGGAAGCCACAGTTGTGCAGCTGAATAACCAGGCTTCTGCAGTCGGACTGAATCCAGCAACAGCAGCTGCCATACTCGGAGCATTAGGTCCACCAGGATCTATGAATACAGTCGGTCCTGGTTCATCAAATGATCAATCAGCATCGGGGTTTGATGTAGCAGCTGCAGCAGCTGTGCTTTACCAGCAACAGCAGCAGCAACAGCAACAGCAGCAGCAACAGCAACAGCAGCAGCAGCAGCAGCAACAACAGCAGCAGCAGAGTACTACAAGCAATAAGAGACGTATTTACGATTCAGACAGTGGTATTTATTAATTATATTATTATTTTAATACATTATTTAATTACAACATTTTATGTCGATTAGTATTTTCCTACAACTTATATTTAATAATGTGTGAAGTACTTATTTATATCATTATTTGTTAATTTTCCCATACAGTCACAATACAAAAGCAACCGCAACCCCAGGTTGGGCCACCATCCAAACGTATGCACAGGCAACAACATCAGCCACCACTTTCTTCTAATGCCATAACCTTATCTACCATAACATCACAAGGAACTAGTGTAGCAGGAGGAGGAGCTGTAGATGGCATGTTGGCATCACTTGTAGCTCAGCAACAACAGCGAAGTGCTTTAGTTTCTGGAAGTCCTTTACAGTTGACTTCCTCCGGGAACAGCAGTAAATCTGGTGGTTCAGTGGGCCATCAACAAGTAACACAACCACAACAACACCCACATAATCATTACAGAACTCCATCAATGGCTCGAACTGGTAGAAAGCATGTGATTTCGTGGACAGATGCTCCGGACGATTTATATTATAGATGTACTGCTTTGTCCAGGTAGGATAACCATCATTCAATTTCAAATTTAATTGGTGAATCGGTTATATGTTAATTGTATATGCATGCAATATCCAATGAGATTTTTTCCTATTCCTAAATATTCATTGTCTTCCATCAACCATTATATATTTGCAATTATTTCCTCATGTAACATTTTTAAAATCACTATTTTGGTAGTTGACTTTGAAAATGAGCTACCTGAAATACTGCACCTCTTATTTCAAGCATCCTTTTTAATCATGTTTATTTTGACTTTTATTAAGTCTTTTAGTCCTACACTATTGTAATATCCTTGACAGTGTAATAATAAATTGGAAATTAGTGCCCTATTTAGTTAATTCCGGGGTACTTTAAATTTATTGTTTTTTAATTGCTGTCAGGTCACTGCGGAAAGCCAGGATGACAGGTAAGGAACTGAGGCGATCAGCACGTAAGCCTTGGCAACCAATTGCTGCATTACTTGGCATATCATTTACTATGCCATCTGCCCCTCCATCATCTGGACCATCATTAGGAACAGGAGCGATAGCTGGATCCCAAGCTCCACAGCCTGGTATTTCTGTAACTCCATCTTCAAAAGGGTCATCAACACCATTTGATATGTCTACCACAGGAGGAGGTAGGCAATCCACTACATCTAATCAATCGGGGACTGGGATCATACCACCATGTGTAATAAACACACCTGTCATGTCCTCATCACGCAGCAGTGGTGGTAGTGGTCATCACTAGTAACTGTAATGTAGTGAGAAAACACACAATACATTGAGATTTGTATTTTCATTATCGTACTATTTTATTTTTTATATATATACATATACAGTAATCTGAACTCATTATATAGGTTAAACCAAAAGATACTAAAATAATTTGTATTATTTTTTTGTACTATTTAATATTATTTATATGTAATACTTGTAAACATATATAATTTATTTAGATTTTTGGTTTCTCTACACATGCGTAATTAAATTAAACATAAATGAATATATATGATTATGATTATTACTTTAATATTGACTAAAATTATTGTAACTTTTTTAAAAAATAAAAATCTTAGTTTTAAGGTTATATTTTTATGAGCAACAGTAGCTAAAGTAGTTTTAGTCTAAATTAGTAATAGTATTACATTTGAGAAAATTACCTATTATGAACTTGATGTTTTTTTTTTTTTTTTTTTTATGATTATTACCTATTATTGTAACAAATAATTTTCTTTTGACACACCTTTTTTTTTTTAATAATATATTTATTTACAAAATAAAACAATATGATGCAACACTTCAAATAAATAATTGTACACGTGCATGTGTGTATGTATGAATTATACATACAAAATATGATATTTTTTTTTTTTTTGTACTTATTATCATGATAAAAATTATTAAATAGTAAATAGATAACAATGATTCTTTGCTGGTCTTAAAAAAAAGCTTATGGGATTAAAAGTGGTGATTTTCTATAACAACAGGAATTTAGACACGTTTATTTTCAATGCTTATTACCTATACTTACCTAGTGAAGTAATAAGAATTCTGAAAGTATATTTGAATTTATCATTAGGTCTACTCTTAGATCATATATAATAGATTGATATACATAGCTGTGTAAACAATTTGGACCACATATAAGCAACTGATGTTCTCTGTTAAGATATCCTATTTTCAAGTATTTTTAATTTAAACACGATAAAAAAAGTGCTGATACTGGGGACAGGTGCAGTCACTGTTGTAGGCGGGTAGTTGGGAATGTTGAATACATAAAAATATTTAATTTATACCTGTAATCAACGATAAATGATTGATAATGAAAAATGATTCATGATGAATGAAGTTTGGTTATATACATTTATTTTGTACATTTTCCCTTATTTTCTTTAGATTTTTCAGTTTGGCTCAATTACTTAAAATGCTACAAATAAAATCAAATTGTGGCTTTCTTACTCTTCAAATAGATTAAAAATGCAACGAAAAAGGTCTCTCGTCTGTTAGAGCAATATTTTTTGTAGAAAATATGCTGTAAAAATTAAAATTTTTATTAATTAGTAACTTTTTGAAAAATTGTAATATAAAAATATTTGTGTAATATAATAAATATGTCATTAAAAAAATATATGTAAATGTATAAAATTAGTACAAAAATAAACTTATTGAACCGAGATAATAATATGAATATAACCACTGCAGAATAGTGGTTATATTAAAATATATGGTATGTTGTCCCACATCAATTTGACACATCGACTGTTCGCAATAATTGTAGATGTGGTGATGATAGTGATGTAGATAGATTAGGATAGAATATATATTGTCACAAATAAGTCACAAAAAGAGTCACAAAAAAGTTGTTGAGTTATAAATAAAGCCCACGCAAACGTAAGTGTTTAAATACAAGCGTATATAATAATTGAATAAAGCATGGTGTACACTGTATACTGCCGCGTGCAATTCCGTACAATTCAACAAACACGGTGAATAATATTTTTTATTATTGCTCTGTAGAATTGTAATGTTATCGACACGACAATCATCTTGTTGTGCTGCAGTGTATAATTATTTTAGCGTGTGGTTTAATAATATTATACAGTTACGATTGTAATAATTTTAATTATGGTTTCATGATAGCAGCTCACCGAAGAGATAAAATTTTCTATCAAAAAACATCTCTAATATTTATGGTCAAAACATGACTTCTGGTGGAAAAATTGTTTGTAGGCACAAAAAAAAGATATTTCTCATCGTAGGGCTTAGAAACTAAAAAACAAATACAAGGAAATAGACACGAGAGGGGGTAGGGGTTTCAACCTTCCTTGCTTTCTTTTTAGAACATGGAAAATAAAAAAAATAAGTGTCAATTATTCTATACATCTATGATGGCGAACTGAAAAATAGATATGGAAATGTCCATTAAATAAATAACTAACAGCCAACAAAATAATATATCTATAATTATTTATCATCAAGCAAATAATAATTTAATACTTGAAGATTATTTTAGAATTTCTGTATCATATCTTTTTCATTGAATGTTTTATATTTTAAATAAATAAAGATGTATATTTTATTAAAATATTTTCAAAGATAATAATAGTAAAATGTTTAACTCTTAAATAATTCAAATATTAACATGTTCTAATCAATAAAAACAGTACTTTAATGATGAAACTAATTCAAAAAATGTATTAGTACAGATTTTGAGTCTCTAGTTAAATACCCATTTTCATCCTCCTTTATATAGATACCTGACAGCTATGTGTGATTTACAAATTCGAAAACAATAACTGAAGTGTGCCGTCACTAACGATGATAAAATATTGCCATCAAATGCATACTTCAATCATATTTCCAAATTTATATGTATTATTAATTTGTTTGTATACTTATACGCCCATCTTAAACATTTTTGTTTACAGAATATTTTAAAAATTGCTCCTGTTTTAACCAATTTTAACAACACTGTGAATTTTAAATATAATGTACCAAGTTAATAAAGGTAGATGAATAGATAATAAAATCAAAACAGTAACATTACGCTAATGTTTTAAATTCTGACCTGAGCGAGGATTGTATTAGTTTTACTATATTGTATACAATTTGATTTTTTTCATTTGTTTGTATCTGTGAATATCTCTTCTATAAAAAATCTTGCTTCTATCAAGAAACTACCTCTTGTAGTTTTTGTTGAATTTTGGACCTAGTTAGTGCATTGAGTGTACTATTTTGATTTTAAAAGCAGTTTCCAAAGTTATTCGGAAAGTATGTAAAGGAAATATGAACAAATTTATGACAGTAAAGGTTTCATTATTTTCAATTTTATTTTTCCCCTAGAAATCTTGTTCCGAGTTTTAAGAGTAGCATTTTTTTGAATAAAAATGTTACAAGTAGGTACCTAAAAAGGTCGGTTTTTGATTGTCCTTATAATTTTCTTAATAACTGAGAAAAAACGTAAGAAAATTAGGAAAAGTTAATAATAAGTAATAATTATTAACAGTTTCATTATTTTTGATAATGGTAGTAGAGGCCTGCATTTTGTATAGAATATTTATATCAATACATTTTATACGTGGTAAAATTTTTTAAAAAATTCTGGCCAATTTTTAGCTATTTATAAGCATTTTTTTTATAAACATTTTTCTATAAGCAATTTTTCTAGTATCTTTAGTTTTCAGATTATGGTTATAGACCATCATAGACTATAAAGTCGGTGAAGAAATCAATATTTTTCTCCCGTGAGATAGAGTATAGTATATAATATATGGGTACACCCATAGATATATGTTATGTCTATCCGAGTCGGCGGTTATCATTATGCGCACCGTCTATTTACCTCGCACCAACATATTCTACATCATTTGTACATTAATAAATCGAACGATAAGTAAAAATAATAATAACGTTCCATTTAGTAGCAGTGAGTTTAAAGATTTTTCAGAAACTTGGAACTTCAGCATAAAGACTATAGTTCCAATTATGCGTAGTCAAACGGATTTAAAGAAAAGTTTGTAGGTTTTTGTGAAAAAATATTAAAAAAGTGTGTAATAATTGGTAGTAGTCCGTTAGTAGTCTTATTACAATATCGTAATACACCTATTAGTGAATTGGAGTTGTCAACAGCAGAGCTGCTAATGTCTATGACGCTTAGAGATAAGCTTCCAGCAGTGTCTAATTTATTAAAACCAAAACAACTATTATAATAAAAATGCGTTTTCAAATGAAAAATTTGTTGCAAATCAATTAGTATTGATTTTTAAGAAAGGAGAGTGGATACCCGGTACTATAGTGGAAGTATTAAATACACCAAGGTCATATTTAGTGATGGACAGTATAGGAAATATGTTGAGGAGAACATTTGTTCTCCTCAACATGTTAATTTTTGTTAATTTTTCACTATCAGTGCTAATAAATTATAAATTTAAGTGTTGTAACTATGTTCACTATTTAATTAGGTCCCATATTATTTATTATTATGTTATAATACTATAGGTACTATTTTGTATGTATAATTAAATTATTTTGTAATTATAAATGTAAAAAAAGAGCTGATACTGGGGTTGGGAGCGGTCATTGTTGTAGGTGAGAAATTAGGAAGGAAGAATACATAAGGTTATTTCATTTATATCTGTAAGCAATGATAAACCATTGCTTGACGAAAGACGATTCCGAATGCAGTTCGGTAATACATAATTTAAAGTGCCATAATTTTTTTTTGCGATTTTCGTTTAAATTTGATTTCAAAGCGCTTATTAAAAAAAAAAAGTCGTTTGATGATTTTGGGGTTAGTCAAATATAAGTATTATTACCAAGTTTCAAGTCTCTACGTGTCTTTATAACCGAATGACAATAAAAAAACTTTTAAAATTAAAATTCCTTAAAAGCTCAAAAGTGGCTTAAAAGTTTTGGCGATGAAACCATAAGAAAGTAAATTAAAAAGGTAACAAAAAAGGTATTTTGTAATTTTTCGATTAAATCATTTTTTTGGTAGAAAACGTCGTCAATGTTTTTTTAATATAATAAAATCATGACATTATTTGTTTTTTTACATTTTTTCTCACTTAAATACTTTTATTTAAAAAATGGCATCGAAAATCAAAAAATGACCTTTCTAAAGTACTATTTAGATAACCCGAGCTTTCAGAAAAGTTGCTACACGTAAGAATCGGAGCAAGTTTACTAAGAAAAAACGTGTCCATAGTCTAGAACAATGAAAAAAGGAAAAAAAAAATAAACATCTTAGTAAAATTAATAGCTCTCTTGCTACGCTCTATCTAAAAAAAAAAATTTAAATGGGGGGATGTTAGTAAGTTGGCTACTCTGTAGGATAACTACAGATGTAATACTATTAGTCTAGTCTTACATCATTAATAGTATTCTTCCATATATGCAATTATGTAATGTAACCCGAAACACTCTAGTTTTAATAATTTACTTCAATTATGCATGCACTTAATAATAAAGTATTATATACTTCTTTTTAATGTGTGTTTACTTAATTACTAGTGCAATATGAATTAATCAATTGATAATAAGTATATAACATAACAGATACTACTCAAAAAAGGACGGTTTAATAAATATATAATCTAACAGTTAAAATGTAACTTCAAAATTTACATTTGGTATGGACGTATAATGAATATTGCGAACGCGCTCCGTTACACGACTTTGCGAGCATACTCGCATACTATACACTGTGTCAATCTCACACATTTATTGTGAATATTTTATTACCCAAAAATCTAAATGGAGTAAAAAATAAATAAAAATCAGCTACAAATAATTCTATATTGAAGTTGTTTTAAAAAGAAGCCTAGACCTGATATAAGTATTACAATTTTAAATTATTCAAAATTTTAAATATTATTAGGCTCAGAATTAAATGTTTTAAAAACGTACAAAATATCCATGTAGATATTTGTGCACTTTATGCATAAAAAATCGCATTAAAATTATTCGACAATTAAATTAAGATCAATCTAAAATATATTATACAATTTAAATTTAACTTTTTTAGTAGGTAAATACCCAATAAATGAAATAATATGTATATTTTTTCATTACGCGAAACCAATTTTAGAAAACTGAAAAAAGTTCCAGCATAATAATATTATTTGATTATCAGACAAACCTTTTTTTTTTTTATACTTGTGTGATGGAGGGTGAGGGCCCTGTTGTGGTGCGGACCCATAGACTGCAGCCTCTATAGCCTATGCTTAAATCTATTCCTGGGTATATCCATAGACTTATACATCTAGAGTCTAGATGTAGAATGTTCCGTCTAGATTCTAGACGGAACATTCAATAATAAAACTCGTTCCGGTGTGTGGAGTTTCATTTTGAAGACAGAAAATCGTGAAATATTATATGGAGTGTTTTAATTGACTGTCCTCGGAGTGCAAATTTGTTTTCTTTCACACTAGGCTTTATATAAGCCTATCTCTCTTGATCCGTTTAGACAGATCACGTCTACCAGTCCTTAGGGCGAATGTTCCGACCGGATGCATAAAATATGGATGAATACATCGGTTACCAGCGGTATCATGTTGGTTTAGGTACTGCTTAGATAATAAAGAATGGACAGATCATACGTCTGGACGGCGCATAAAAACAGTAGT